ATAAATCGTTTCATTATAAAGACACATGCACATGTATGCTCATTAAGGCACTGTTTACAATAGCAAAGACCTGGATCCAACCCAAATGTCCATCGATTGTAGACTGGACAGGGAAAATGTGGCACATATACACCATGGAATACTATACAGCTGTGAAAAATGATGAGTTCATGTCCTTTGTAGGGACATGGATGAACTTGGAAACCATCATTCTCAGCAAACTGACACAAGAACAAAAAATCAAACACTGAGTGTTCTCACTCATAGGCAGGTGCTGAACAACGAGAACACATGGATACAGGGAGGGGAACATCACACACTGGCATGTGTTGGGAGGAAGTAGGGGAGGGACTGCAGGGGGTAGGGAGTTGGGGAGGGAAAACATCAGGAGTAATGCTAGATATAGGTGATGGGGATGGAGGCAGCAAGCCACATTTCCATGAATGTACCTATGCAACAATCCTGCATGTTCTTCACATATACTCCAGAACCTAAAGTGCAATAATATAGATATTATATAATTATATATATTTTATTGTGTAGTATATGTTGTATATTATTGTATATTATATATTGTATAATATATTCATACATAATATATAATATATACATACATATATATACATGAAATCTGTACCCTGGCTGTTACTCTCTCTCCATCTCTCCTTCCACTAGCCCTGGCAATGGCTAATATACTTTCTGTGTTTATGGATTTGCCTCTTCTGGACATGTCATAGAAATGGTATCATACAATACATAGTCTTTTGTGTCTTGTTTGCTCTTAGCATAATATTTTCAAAGCTTGTTCATGCTGCAGCATGCAGCAGTGCTTCATTGCTTTTTATATTTGAATATTGCATTGTGTGCATTGACCACTTTGTTTATTCATTCATCTGTTGATGGACATTTAGATTATTTTCCCTTTTTGGTTATTGTGAATACAGCTGTTATGGTAATTATCATACAGTAATTCCATTTAGCTTTTTGAGGAACTAGGCCTTCCAATTCCAAAATCACAATAATTTTGCAATAATTTAGTCATTTATATATGACCATGACTTAGAAAAATGTTCACCAATTAAAAGAAGTATAGACAACAATTTCTAATACACATTTCCTAGATTCTGTAATAGCTCAAGTCTCAGTCTGAGTGATGCGCCATTGACACTTCTCTGACTGCCTTCAGAAAAGTGATACATAAAGTCTTACTTCCAAAGCTAGGTAAAAAGTAACCTCCTGAATTAAATCTGCCTTTCGGTGAAGGTAGGTTAGGTAACAAAGGCAATGACACTGAAGAAGTTACTGAAATTTGGAAGATAGCACAGGAAATCTGAGTGGAACACCACTGTAGAATCCCATACACATAACAAGACAGTTAGCTTTTGTACAAATCCAAGAATTTTAAAAAGTTTTCAGCAAAAATGCAACTACACTTATTACCTAGTAAGTATTCTCTCTCCCATGTGCATTTCACATACTAATGGCCGTTTTGTGGTGGTGGGGTGCGTTTCCCTAGGGTTTTCTAAAACCCTTTCTAGGGACATTTCCTGCCCCACACTGCAGGTTTTCCAGGATGCAAAGCCAGCTCACTCACTCTTCTCAAAGTGAGGTGCCAGGCCACCGAGCATGGGGTCCTTCAGCAGCTCTCAGGGCACGGGGTCTGGCTTCTTCAAGTACCAGGGACAGCTGCCCTTGGGTCAACAACATCTGAGGCTGGCTTGCATGGTTTGCTCCCCGAGTCTCCTCACTCCATTGTTTCCATTTTCATGGGGGTCCAAGGCTGGGATCTGGTGGCTGATACCTTGAAAGAGCTCTTCAATATTAATAGGATTTTTTTGCCCTTGCCTCAACCACTGATGGCACCTATGAATTCAGCATATTCCTCAGCATCCTTCAGGAAAATCTCCCTAATATCTGAGAGGTGGCACTTGTTTCGGCAATAACCATTTGGATGTTTTCCGGACCATGTTCTTTCAGCTCTTCATCCCACTTCTTCAAGGTATGAAATGAATCCTGTTTGGGTAACATCATGCACTGTTATCAGCTGCAGCCGATAACAGTGCATGATGTTACCCAATCAGGATTGGGGTCTGTTGGGGGGAATAGGGGAGTTGGGGAGAGATAGCATGGGGAGAAATGCCAGATATAGGTGATGGGGAGGAAGGCAGAAAATCACACTGCCACGTGTGTACCTATGCAACTATCTTGCATGTTCTTCACATGTACACCAAAACCTAAAATGGAATAAAAAAATAAAAAATAAAAAAGATGCCTCAGGCCAGGGGTGTGGTCGCTCACGCCTGTAAACCCAGCACTTTGGGAGGCAAAGGCGGGCCGATCATGAGGTCAAGAGATCGAGACCATCCTGGTCAACAAGGTGAAACCCTGTCTCTACTAAAAATACAAAAATTAGCTGGGCATGGTGGTGTGCACCTGTAGTCCCAGCTACTCGGGAGGCTAAGGCAGGAGAATTGCTTGAACCCAGAAGGCGGAGGTTGCAGTGAGCAGAGATCATGCCATTGCACTCCAGCCTGGGTAACAACAGCGAAACTCCGTCTCAAAAGTAAGTAAATAAATAAATAAAAATAAAAATACAAAATACAAAAATTAGTTGGGTGTGGTGGCTCACAGCTGCAGTCCCAGCTACTCAGGAGGCTGAGGCAGGAGAATCACTTGATACAGGGAGCCGGAGGTTGCAGTGAGCCGAGATCACGCCATTGCACTCCAGCCTGGCGACAGAATGAGACTCTGTCTCAAAAAAAAAAAAAAAAAAAAAAGCCTCAATGGTAGGGCTGATGTTGTGGTAAAAGTGATCCTGAGCAAATCGACACACAATGCTTGATTTCCCAATGCCGGTGTCCCTGAGAAGGCACACTTTGAGCTCCCCTATTGCCATCATGTGCTGGTGGTCAGGCCAGCAGAGGCTCAGCAACGTCCTTCTGGGCCCATCAGCATCTCCTGCCTTGGCCCCTCTCTGGTGCCACCCAACTTTTCATCTTAAAAGCCCTTTTCTACTGCAGTTGTTTTTCCCAACTGCTGCCTATTTATACCAGGAAAGGACTCTGATAGGGGCTAGTTGAAGCATAGGTCCATCCCTGGGCCAATCCCTCTGCCCCAGGTAATAAGATGCAATGATTGGTTAGGTCTTCATCAGATGCTTATTCACCAAAAGGAGAGGTGCTGGGCAGTCCCAAACAATGGGTATTATAATCCACTACAGCCCAGACTGGGAGATCGTGGGAACTTTCCACTTTCATAGTTCCATAGAGAGGACATTTGGTTGGTATCAGGAGACTAAAAAGGGGGTAGGGTTTTCTGTGTTTCTCCTTGTTAATTTAGGACTTGGATTTCTTTGGGAGTTGAAAGTCAGCTTAGGTTCTAGGTAGAGATAGCTGATTCAATGTATGCATCACCTGGCATGTTAGTGAAGCTTTGAGAATAAACAAAAAGTAAGAAGATTAAGAGAATATGTTAAAAAAAAAAAAAAAACTAGAAAAAAGCAAGAGAAAGGAAATAAAAACGTGTGAAATTTGGAAGTTGAAAAGCAATGGACAAGTGGGAACTGACTTGGTTCTCCCTACCAGCGGCTTAGGAGTCAGTTTTCTCTGTCTGCTGGAAAATGCCTACTTTACACTGAAGAACCCCTAAATGGACAGGAATTGGCACTTTCAGGCACTTCTGGAAGTAGTGGTAAAGGTAAGATTTGAAAAAGCAGAAAATCAGTTGGGTATGGTGGCTCAGACCTGTGTAATTCCAACACTTTGGTAGGCCAAGGTGGGTGGATCACCTGAGGTCAGGAGTTTGAGACCAGTCTGGCCAAGATGATGTAACCCTGTCACTACTAAAAATACAAAAAATTAGCCGGGTGTGTGGTAGACGCCTATAATCCCAGCTGAGGCAGAAGAATCCATTGAATCTGGGAGGCGAAGGTTGCAGTGAGCTGAGATAGCACCATTGCACTCAAGCCAGGGCAACAAAAAGGGAAAATCCGTAAAAAAAAAAAAAAAAAAAAAAAGTCTCTGGCTTGGTAGACACCATGGATAGTAGGCCACAGGAGTGGCTCCTAGTTTGTCTCTCTCCCTTTTCTTTCTTTTTTCATTTTCTTTCTCTCTCTCTCTTTTTTTTTTTTTTTTTTTTTGAGACAGGGTCTCGCTCTGTCTCCCAGGCTGGAGTGCAGTGGTGCAACCCTCCGCCTCCCGGGTTCAAACTATTCTCGTGTCTCAGCCTCCTGAGTAGTAGCAGGGACTACAGGTGCCCTCCACCACATCTGGCTAATTTTTGTAGACAGCGTTTTCTCCGTGTTAGCCAGGCTGGTCTCAAACTTCTGAGCTCAGATGATCCACCTGCCTCGGTCTCCCGCAGTGCTGGGAGTACAGGCGTGAGCCACCGTGCCCGGCCCTTAGTTTTCTTCTCATGCTCAGCTTCCAGGATACCGACTGCCAGGGCTGTACTCTATGGGCAGAGGGTTATAGAAAACTTTTTTAGTCTCCCTTCATGGTCGGTTTCCCCAAAGAAAATGTACAAATACTGGATGTTCTTTAAGGGAATGGCCCATGATTGCCGTCCTGTGAAGCTCACAGTTGCTAAGCATCAGGGGATTGTGCCTCCAATCAGTGTGTTAGTGTCTTGCCCTTTTAAATAGAGCAGATGGCGCAGGATCCCCAGACAGCTGAGGAAAGCCTCTAATATGACTTGAGATTAATGCAACCCCTGTCTCCTCAGACCGTCTTTCCTCCAGCCACACGGACCCGGGGTCAGTCTCCGCCGAGGCGGCCAGGCCTGGTTGCGGCGACGGTGGCTGAGTAGTGGTGGAACCGGCAGCTGGGCCCTAAGCAGATGGCGGGACGCTAGGGCCGGCCGGCTCCGCTCTGAGCACAAGCCAGGGGCGCGGGCGCGGGTAGCCGTGCTGGAAGGGCCAGCTGGCCGCGCAGCGGGTGGCGAGTTGCCCAGTCTGAGGTCCTCGGGTCTGAGCTCAGCAGCCCTCGCTCGCGCCCGAGCTGCAGCCGCGATTTGCACGGAGCTCCGCCAGCCGGAGAGTGTCCTCATGGGTGTTTCTCCGGGCAAGGCTTTCAGCATCCCAAGGTTCTCTAGCTGCTCTAGCCTCAGTCCTGTGTTCCCACGTGGGAACGCAGTCTTCACACATGACTGGCGCTAGAGTAGCTGGGACTTCAGGATGCCTTCCTCTCTCAGGGAATGTCCTGAAAATTCTGCCAACTCCCACTGACGTGGGACGGGAACGCAGAACTGGTGACAAGCTGTCATCGATGTTTCTGACACTTGGGCCTTGCACACGCACGCTGAGAACCGCTGGCCACCTGTCGGCTGTGCGCACACGCAGTGACGGAGCTGTCAGAGGTGCGCATGCACGGTTGGGCTTACCTGCTTTGCCTGGCGCGCCTTGGCTGCTTGGCTTCGCTTGTTATTGGCTCTGAGTTTGGAAATATCGGAGTTTCCTGGTTGGAGGTGGTGGCTGCCCAGAGTGGCTTGGTCTTATTGGGCCCCTGAGGCTTTGATAGGTGGAATGGTGCTGAGGTGTCTCTAATAACCTCCGCCATGAAAAGGATCTCTGGTTCCCAGGACCAGAAGGGCCAGGGGCCTAGTGGCTTCTTCACCTGCTGGTGGAGGAGCAGCAGGGGTGATGTTGCTGAGCGCGATGACAGCACCTTCGCCCAGCGTGGATACAACATCCGAGGGAAACATCTCGGCAAGCTCCACAGAGCCGCTAGCCGGGGTGACGTCTTCAGGGTGCAGCTCATCCTTATGCGCGGGAACGTTGACTTGGATGAGAGAGACAAGAAGAAGAGGTGAGAGCAGCTGGACTGGGGGCAGGGGCTAGGTTGAGGTGGGGCGTGGGAGAAGCGCCCGCTTTCCAGAGTGGGGATGCGGCGTGGGGGAGCGAGCCTTCTTGTCCCTGAGGCCCTTGCTTTTCTGCCTCGGCAGGCTCCACAGCACCTGGCATAGGGAAACCTTGGAGAGGTAAATTAAGTCTATATAGCACTTTATCTTGAATGGACACATTTCAAAACATATATTATATATACTTATTTATTTTACTTTAGTTATATACTACATTCAGTATTTCTCCCCGTTATCCTTCCCCACCCTCCCCCATCCCCCCCATATCCCCTAATCCCCCCAACTGCCCCCAGTGTGTGATGCTCTTCTCCCTAAGTCTACGTGTTCTCCTTGTTCAACACCCACTTATGAGTGACAACATGTGGTGTTTGGATTTCTGTTCTTGTGTCAGTTTTCTGAGAATGATGGCTTCCAGATTCATCCAAGTCCCTACAAAGGACATGAACTCATCGTTTTTTATGGCTGCATAGTATTCCATGGTGTATATGTACCACATTGTCTTTGTCCAGTCTATCATTGATGGGCATTTGGGTTGGTTCCAGGTCTTTGCTATTGTACACAGGGCTGCAATGAACATACATGTGCATGTGTATTTATAGTAGAACAATTTGGGTATATAACCAGTAATGGGATTGCTGGGTCAAATGGAATTTCTATTTCTAGATCCTTGAGAAATTGCCACACTGTCTTCCACAATGGTTGAACTAATTTACACTCCCACCAACTACGTAAAAGTGTTCCTATTTCTCCACATCCTCTCCAGCATCTGTTGTCTCCAGATTTTTTAATGATTGCCATTCTAACTGGCATGAGATGGTATCTCAATGTGGTTTTGATTTGCATTTAATGACCAGTGATGATGAGCATTTTTTCATATGTTTCTTAACCTCACATATGTCTTCTTTTGAAAAATGTCTGTTTACATCTTTTGCCTACTTTTGAATGGGTTTGTATTTTTCTTGTAAATCTGTTTTAATTCTTTGGAGATTCTGGATATAAGTCCTTTGTCAGATGCAAAAGTTTTTTCCCATTCTGTTGGTTGCTGATTCACTCTAATGATTGCTTCTTTTGCTGTGCAGAAGCTTTGGAGTTTAGTTGGATCCCATTTGTCTATTTTGGCTTTTGTTGCCAATGCTTTTGGTGTTTTATCATAAAGTCCTTGCCTATGCCTATGTCCTGAATGGTTTTGCCTGGGTTTTCTTCTAGGACTTTTATAGTGTTAGGTCTTATGTTTAAGTCTTTAATCCATCTGGAGTTAATTTTAGTGTAAGGTTTCAGGAAGGGGTGCTGTTTCTGCTTTCTGCACATGACTACCCAGTTTTCCTAACCCCATTTATTAAACATGGAGTCCTTTCCCCATTGCTTGTTTTTGTCAGGTTTGTCAAAGATCAGATGGTTGTAGATGTATGGTGTTGCCTCCAAGGCCTCTGTTCTATTCCATTGGTCTATATCTCTGTTTTGGTTCCAGTACCATGCTGTTTTGATTACTGTAGCCTTGTACTATAGTGTGAAGTCAGGTAGCATGATGCTCCAGCTTTGTTCTTTTTGCTTAGAATTGACTTGGCTAGGCAGGCTCTCTTTTGGTTCCATATGAAGTTTAAAGTGTTTTTTCCAGTTCTGTGAAGAGGATCATAGGTAGCTTGCTGGGGATAGCATTAATCTATGGATTACTTTGGGCAGTATGGCCATTTTCAAGATATTAATTCTTCCTAACCGTGAGCATGGAATGTTTTTCCATCTGTTTGTGTCCTCTCTTATTTCGTTGAGCAATGGTTTCTAGTTCTCCTTGAAGAGGTCCTTTACATCCTTTGTTAGTTGTATTCCTAGGTATTCTATTCTCTTTGTAGCAATTGTAAATGGGAGTTTGTTCTTGATTTGGCTCTCTGTTTGATATTGGAATATAGGAGTGCTTGTGATTTCTGCACATTGATTTTTGTATCCTGAGACTTTACTGAAGTTACTTATCAGTTTGAGAAGATTTTGGGCTGAGACAATGGGGTCGTCTAGATATACAATCATGTCGTCTGCAAATAGAGACAGTTTGACTTCCTCCTTTCCTGATTGAATACGCTTTATTTCTTTTTCTTGCCTGATTGCTCTGGCTAGAACTTCCAACACTATATTGAATAGGAGTGGTGAGAGAGGGCATCCTTGTCTAGTGCCTGATTTCAAAGGGAATTCTTCAAGCTTTTGCCCATTCAGTATGATATTGGCTGTAGGTTTGCCATAAATGGCTTTTTATCCTTTTATATATGTTCCACTGATACCTAGTTTATTGAGAGTTTTTAGTGCTGTTGAATTTTGTCAAAGGCCTTCTCTGCATCTATTGAGATGATCATGTGGTTTTTGTCTTTTGCTCAGTTTATGTGATGGATTACGTTTATGGATTTGCATATGTTGAACTAGCCTTGCATCCCCGGAATGAAGCCTACTTGATTGTGATGGATAAGCTTTTTGATGTGCTGTTGCAATCGGTTTGCCAGTATTTTATTGATGATTTTTGTGTTGATTTTCATCATGGATATTTTCCTGCAGTTTTCTTTTTTAGTTGAGTGTCTGCCTGGTTTTGGTATCAGGATGATGTTGGTCTCATAAAATGAGTTAGGGAGGATTCCCTCCTTTTGTATTGTTTGATACAGTTTTAGAAGGGATTTACAGTTGTACAGCTCCTCTTTGTACATCTGGTAGAATTTGGCTGTGAACCTGTATGGTCCTGGACATTTTTGGCTGGCAGGCTATTGATTGCTGCCTCTACTTCAGCCCTTGTTATTGGTCCACTCAGGGTTTCAACTTCCTCCTGGTTTAGTCTTGATAGAGTACAAGTGTCCAGGAATTTAAGCATTTTTTCCTCGTGTACTTGTTTATGTGCATAGAGTTGTTTGTAGTAATCTCTGATGGTAGTTGTATTTCTGTGGGATCAGTGGTGATGTCCCCTTTACCTTTTTTTATTGCATCTATTTGAGTCTTCTCTCTTTTCTTTTTCATTAGTCTGGCTAGTGGTCTGTCTATTTTGTTGATCTTTTCAAAAGATCAACAATAAATCCTCCTGGATTTATTGATTTTTTGAGGGGGTTTTTAGTGTCTCTATCTCCTTCAGTTCGGCTCTGATCTTAGTTCTTTCTTGTATTCTGCTAGCTTTTGAGTTTTTTTATCTTCCTCCTCCAGCTCATTCAATTTTGATGACAGGGTGTCAATTTTAGCTCTTTCCTTGTTTCTCATGTGGGCATTTACTGCTATAAATTTTCCTCTTGACATTGCTTTAAAGGTGTCCCAGAGATTCTGGTAAGTTGTGTCTTCATACTGATTGGTTTTGAAGAACATCTTTATTTCTGCCTTCACTTCATTGTTTATCCAGTTGACACTCAGAAGCAAGTTGTTCAGTTTTCAAGTGTTGGTGTGGGTTTGAGTGTGTTTCTTAATCCTAAGTTCTAGTCTGATTGCTCTGTGGTCTGATAGACTGTTTGTTATGATTTCCATTCTTCTCCATTTGCTGAGGAGTGATTTGCTTCCAATGATGTGGTCAATTTTAGAGGAAGTGCAATGTGCTGAGAAAAACGTACTTTCTTTGGATTTCGGGTGGAGCGTTTTGTATATGTCTATTAAGTCTACTTGGTCCAGCTCTGCATTCAAGTCTTGGATGTACCTGTTAATTTTCTGTCTCATTGATCTGTCTAATATTGATAATGAAGTGTTAAAGTCTCCCACTATTATTGTGTGGGAGTCTAAATCTTGTTTTAGGTTGTTAAGAACTTGCTTTATGTATCTGGGTGCTCCTGTATTGGGGGCATATATATTTAGGATAGTTAGCTTTTCTTGTTGGATTAATTCTTTTACCATTATGTAGTGTCCTTCTTTGTCTCTTTTGACCTTTGTTGATTTGAAGTCCATTTTATCAGAGATTAAGATTGCAACTCCTGCTTTTTTTTGCTCTCCATTTGCTTGGTAAATCTTTTTCCATCCCTTTATTTTTTAGTCTATATGTGTCTTTGTATGTGAGATGGGTTTCCTGAATACAGCACACCAATGGATCTTCAATTTTTGTCCGGTTTGCCAGTCTGTGTGTTTTGATTGGGGCGTTTAGGCCATTTACATTCAATGTTACTATTGTTATATGTGAATTTGATCCTGCCATTTTGTTACTGGCTGGTTTTCTTTTCCATTAGTTGACTCATTTTCTTCATTGCATTTTTGGTCTTTCCCAACTCGTTTGCTTTTGCAGTGACTGGTACTTGCTCCTTTCCATGCTTAGTGTTTCAGGAGCTCTTGTAGGGCAGGTCTGGTGGTGTCAAAATCTCTCAGTGATTGCTTCTCCATAAAGGATTTTATTTCTCCTTCATTTATGAAGCTTAGTTTGGCTGGATAAGAAATTCTGGGTTGAAAGTTCTTTTCTTTAAGGATGTTGAATATTGGCCCCCACTCTCTTCTGGCTGTGAGTCTGATGGGCTTCCCTTTGTGGGTGACCTGAGCTTTCCCTCTGGCTGCCCTTAGCATTTCTTCCTTCATTTCAACCCTGGTGAATCTGACGATTATGTGCCTTGGAGTTGCTCTTCTTGAGGAATATCTTTGTGGAGTTCTCTGTATTTCTTGAATTTGGATGTTGGACTGCCTTGCGAGGCTTGGGAAGTTCTCCTGGAGAATATCCTGGAGGGTGTTTTCCAGCTTGGACTCATTCTTCCCATCATATTCAGGTACACCAATCAAGTGTAGATTAGATCTTTTCACATAATTGTTGCACTGGAGTAAGCAGAAAATCAACACCAAGACAAAAGTATGCCAAATTGCAGGGTCTTTATTGACCGTGGCCACAGAGGACTCATGTCTCTCCAACCCATGGCCCCGAGCTCAGGGGCAGTAAGGCACTTAAGCTGCAAAACCACATCCTTGTTTAGGGGGGCCCAGGTGTGTGCAAGGCAAGCTGTCTGTACAGAAGCTAAAGTTAGCAGTTTATTGCAAGGGGAGTGGGGTAGCAGTGGAAATTTTTACCCTTAACACTTCTGAGAATTGCAGTACAGTAACAGTTCCGAGAATTACACCTCTGCCCAGGGCCCACGAGGCTTCTCTACAAGATGGCAGTGCTTAGGCTTCTGTTTTTGCCCCTATCTCATTCCCTCCTGTTGTTTGTACATGAATCAAATCATTAATTCCCTGATTAAGACTGGTTGGTCAGTCTGGCTCAACAGTTCATATTGGGATCTTAGGACCATTAATTTTTACAGAATTTCTTGTTGAAAAGCACAGGTCATGTTACACATTATTATACCAATAAGGTCTCACTTATTGACCTCGTTCTTCCTAATTTGAAATTGAATGAGATATATTTACTTCATTAAAACAAGATCCACTAGTTAATTGTCACAATAGCAGTAATTTTGTTAGAACGAAATAGTCTGTTACCAGTAGCCCAAAGGTTATTGTAATGAATACCCAATAGCCAAACTCTAGGCTCAACAAATTATAACAAAAGTGCTTCACAATAACAAAAATGCTACTATGCTACCTAGATGTGACACCTAATACATTGTACAGTCTGAACTGTATGAGGACACTTTTAATTTAGTCCATATTAATCAAATAACTTTTATAAGTTAGATTTTGCAACCCACGGGTGACAAACACATACTCTTGGTCTCTTTTTTTTTTTTCTTTTTGAGATAAAGGCTTACTCTGTCGCCCAGGCTGGAGTGCAGTGGTGCAATCTCGGCTCATCCCAACCTCCACCTCCTGGGTCCAGGTGATTCTCCTGCCTCAGCCTCCCAAGTAGCTGGGACCACAGGCATGTGCCACTACCCCTGGCTACTTTTTTTGTATTTTTAGTAGAGGCAGGGTTTCACAGTGTTAGCCAGGATGGTCTCGATCTCCTGACCTGGTGATCTGCCCACCTTGGCCTCCCAAAGTGCTGGGATTACAGGCATGAGCCACTGCACCTGGCCAGTCTTGGTCTTTATGGTGCTCATAATAGACTACAGCAGTCCTTATTTCATATCTGTGTTTTTTTCAAGATTATTATTTTTATGTTTTTGAGATGGAATCTCACTCTATTATCCAGGCTGGAGTGCAGTGGTGTGATCTTGGCTCACTGCCACCTCCACCTTCCAGATTCAAGCAATTCTCCCTGCATCAGCCTCCCGAGTAGTTGGGCTGTTGGCCAGGCTTGTCTTGAGCTCCTGAGCTCAGGTAATCCACCTGCTTTGGCCTCTTACAGTGCTGAGATTACAGGCATGAGCCCCTGTACCTGGCTGACAATTTTCAAAGAAAATATTTTTATTCATTTATATACTTGGTCCATTTAACAAACTATCAAGTGTCTTTTAGATAGTAAGCTTCTTTTTTTCCATGTTACAGAATACAAACACTTAAAAATACAATTGGACTATGTGTGGTGGCTCAGGCCTGTAATCCCAGCATTTTGGGAGCCCGAGGCAGGTGAATCACCTGAGGTCAGGGGTTTGAGACCATCCTTGCCAACATGGCGAAACCCTGTCTCTACTAAAAATATAAAAATTAGTCAGAAATGGTGGTACATGCCTGTAATGCCAGCTACTTGGGAAGCCGAGGCAGGAGAATTGCATGAATACTGGAGATGGAGATTGCAGTGAGCTGAGATTGCACCACCGCATTCCAGCTTGGGCAACAGAGAGAGACTTCATCTCAAAAAAAATAGTCAGGGCTGGGCATAGTCTCTACAATCCCAGCACTTTGGGAGGCTGAAGCAAAAGGATTGCTTGAGCCTAGGAGTTTGAGACCAGCCTGGGTAACACAGTGAGACCTCAACTCTACTAAAAATAAAAATAAATGAAAAACTTAGCTGGGCATAGTAGCATGCAACTGTAGTCCCAGGGACTTGGAGGCTGCACTCCAGCCTGGGCAATGGAGTAAGACCATCTCAACAAACAAACAAACAAAAAACAGTCAGGAGCTTGTTATGATCATTTTCATTTATGGTAATTGCTACTTCATTCAGTGCCTTCTACTGTGTGCTAGATGCCATCTGGAAGCGTCTAATGATCATTTATTATGTTAAATATGTGCCAGACACTTTAAGTATGTGGTGTGGAATGAAAGCTATTAAAAAGTGGGGTAGGATTTCAGGTAAGCATGCAGAAGGGGTAGACCTTTTCTTGGTAAAGAGGCAGAAGGATGATGTGGGCAGAAGGAACATCTAACAAGTTTGTGTTTTTGGCAGAAGGAGCATCAAACAAAATGGCATGCTTGGGAGGAGAAGCAGCAGGTGCAAAAGGTAAGAAGCTTGACTGAACTTTGCAGCGTTTATGAGCAGCCCTATATTACTGTTGCAGAAACTGAGATAAGAGTGGTTGGGAATGAGGGAAAACTTAGGTAAGGCAAGCTCATGACGGGCTTTTTAATACTATAAAACTCAGTGGATCTTATCCTGCAGGCAATGGGAAATTTACCAGGTGGAGTGCTTTGGGCTGCAAATACCAAAGGACCTGACTAACAGTGACTAAAAGAGTAGGAAGCAGAGTTGCTTTGGTGGCCGGTTCAGTGACAACACTGGGTCCCATTTGGTCTTCCTATTTCAGCTGTGTGTTTGGCAGTGTTTTGTTCATGTCTCCTTTCATGGCTGGCTAATTAGCAGTAGCTCCAAACATCATGTTCTCACAATACAAGTTCTGAAGGCTGGAAGGGCTGCTTTTCTTTCCATGTTTCTTTGAAATAGAGAGAAAAGTCAGAAGCTTGCAGTGGGCTTTCTTTCACATTTTATTGGCTTGGTTACACCACATACTCATTCCTTAACCAGGCACTGGGAAAACATATGTAATGACTGTGATTAGATTAGGATAGTCATTTCTCTTGTTGAGGATGGGGAGTGATATTAGGATGATAAATACTCAAATAGACTTGTGGTTCCCCAGCAAGAAAAAAATAAGAAATGGTCATTAGGTAGGGAGACAGCAAATGTTTTCTATAGGAATTCATTATAGAATTGTGAGAACAAAAGTCACAAGATTAGATTTGGGTATTAGGACATTCTGATTATGGTATTCACAAGCTTTTTATTTAAAGGACCAGGTGGGAATTATTTTAGGCCATGTGGTCTCTGCCATATCTACTCAACCCTGCCATTGCAGTGTAAAAGCAGTCACAAAACTTTATTTACAAAACCATTAGGCAGGCCGGGCCTGGTCTGTGGCCTGTAGTGGATGACTCCTCATATGGAGGCTAGATGGAAGGTACCACATAAAGAGACTGGAAGATAAAGGAAGCTTTTGCAGTAGCCATAGCTATAACTTCCTTGTCGCCAACCCTTAGACTGGTATCAATCCATTATGAGGTTTTCACCCATCCATGGTGGACTAAATGATGTCAGAAAGCTACTTAGTGACTTTTAAATGTTGGTCTTTCTCTTGATTTTTGCATTTTTCATTTGTTTTGCTTGTTTTTTAATTTAAGAAATAGTATTAATAGTTGGTAGCCTATAAAAGCCAGTAGTTAAGAACCAGTGGCAGTGGAAAAATATAAAGCAGAGGCAGAAAAGAGATAGAGATAATAGGAGTTAGTGATTATTAGATGTACAAATTTAGGGCACAGAGAGAAATCTCAGATGATTCATGGGTTTCCAGGTTGTGAACTAGCGTTTAACCTGGACATGAGGAAGAAGTGGGAGATTTGCAGGTGAATGGAGAAGAACAACAGATCAGCAGGAATGACTAACCTCTTTCTGTGCACGTTGAGTTGAATGGAATATTCATGTAGGGCATTTTCAGTACGTAATTGAATTTTAGGCATTACTAGCTGGAGGTAGAACTGAGGTTGGAGATGCATACTTGGAATAATGTAGGCAAAAATCATATATCTAAATGAGCTTGTCTCTGGTGGGAAAGACATGGAATAAACAGAAGGCAGTGACAAGACCTTGGGAATATCAACATTTCCCAGAGGAAAAGAAGTTAGTAAAGAAGCCTGAACAGTGGCTAGAGAAAAGTAGGAGAGTTTATCAGAGGAATGGATGCTGTAAAACTTTCAAAAATGTGAGAATTTCAAGGAGGGAGAATATAAATTCTTACAAGTAAGATTACTAAAAAGTAAGTTAAATTAATATTTTCAGAGCTCTTTGATGGTCCCTCTTCAAAAGAACACTTTTAGAGTTGTAAGTTCTACTATTTAGGTACATGGTACTTCTAGTGTTCAAGTATGAGAGGAAGAATACACCTATCAAAATCCTACCTAATATTTTTATAACTGCGGCAGTTACCTACACAGAGTCAGGCCTAGACTGGTGAGTTCCTGTGCCAACATTTTCCAAGAATTGCCAGAACCTAAGGGTCCACATGAGGAAAAGTGTAGTCTTTCTTACTGGTTTTTGTGGAAATGCTTGTTTTGTACTCAAACCCTTGATAAGCAGTTCTGGATATATTCCCAAACAAAAATCTGACAGCAAAACTGGAAGTCACTATCAGATACTCATTTCCTTTCTCTGACATGGAATCAAAATGCAGCCATGGCTGGGTGCAGTGGCTCACGCCTGTAATCCCAGCATGTAGGGAAGCTGAAGCAGGTGGATCACAAGGTCAGGAGATCGAGACCATCCTGGCTAACATGGTGAAACCCCATTTCTACTAAAAATACAAAAATTATCTTGGTGTGGTTGCACATGGCTGTAGTGTCAGCCACTCAGGAGGGTGAGGCAGGAGACTCACTTGAACCGGGTAAGTGGAGGTTGCAGTGAGCCGAGATTGCACCACTGTACTCCAGCCTGGGCAACAGAGTGAGAATCCATCTAAAAAAAAAAAAAAGCCAAGTTTGACAAAATTTTAAGTTTTGAACAGAAATAGTTTACAGATCAGCAGTTTGGAAAAACTGATATCTTTAAAATATTTTCTTGCAGAACATTAATATAATATCACAGAAAAATATGACATGATATGCTGTACATAGTAGTTCTTCTGTGAAGAAGGTTACTGGTAGCTTGATGGGGATAGTGTTGAATCTATACATTACTTTGGGCAGTATGGCCATTTTCAAGATATTGATTGTTCCTAGCCATGAGCATGGAATGTTTCTCCATCTGTTTCTGTCCTCTCTTATTTCGTTGAGCAGTGGTTTGTAGTTCTTGAAGAGGTCCTTTACATCCTTTGATAGTTGTATTCCTAGGTATTTTATTCTCTTTGTAGCAATTGTGAATGGGAGTTTGTTCTTGATTTGGCTCTCTGTAAGTCTGTTATTGGTGTATAGGAATGCTTGCGATTTCTGCACATTGATTTTGTATTTTGAGACTTTGCTGAAGTTGCTTATCAGTTTCAGGAGATTTTGGGTGGAGACGATAGGGTCTTATAAATATGCAATCATAACATCTGCAAATAGAGACAATTCGCAAGAATCAGTATCATCAAAACTGTTATACTGCCCAAGGAAATCTACAGATTCAACACTATTCCTATCAAGCTACCAACATCTTTTTTTCACAGTGTTAGGAAAAATGACTCATTAGTCGGTAATTAGAAATATGTGATGTACTTATTGTATAAATGTTAGGAAATTTCCCTCACTACTCTTGTTAGTTTGATTGAATATGTGTGTAATTTTAAAAAATGTAAACTGAATAAATATGTATTGAATCTATGTATGTATTGAAAATGTAAGTTGACATCACAGAGTACACTTAGTTCATGGGAATGGTTTCTCTGAAAGCAATTGCAGAAATTTGCTCTCTCTTCTTTCTAGTTTGTAAGAACTCAGAGGCCACAGGGGAAATGGAGTTCTTTGGATACCAGATAAGGCATGAAGCAGATGTGGTTGCAGTAATTTTAGTATTATTCTTTGTAAGGTGATGATCTCTAGGAACGTCATCACAGCGGAGAAACCTGAAAGCTCCCAGCAGCCAGCAATGAATGAAAGGTGGGGGCGGGGCTGCCAACAGGGTGGGGCCTGGTGGGCCACCTGCCTGGGCTCCCGCATCACAATGGGGGTGGGGCCGCCTCTGTGTCTGATTGGTTCCTGGGCACCAGGTTGGAACTCTGGTGGTTGGTAGGGCAACCTTCTTCAGTTTGTAGAAAGCAGTGGAAGGAGGAACTCCCTCTGTGCTGTCTTCTCCACAATCTCAGCTCTCAGGCTTGTTGTATCTAGACCGATTTTAAATCAAGCAGGTTCCCTTCAGACCAGTCATCTCAGGGGAGGCAGCTGAGGCGGGGAGTGAGCTGTTAGTGGGGTGCAGCCCCATAGGGGCTGGCCCTGCCAGCGTGTCTGTGTTTGAAAGAGGTGAAGTGCTGAACTCTGAAGACTGGGAGGCAAGGGAAGGTCCAAGTTGCTGGAGAGGAGCTAAGGCGTCCCATGGGGAACACGCTGAGTTGTTGTTTTTGCCCCAAAGTCAGCCGCAGGTGAGGTCTGCGTAGGCTGTCTGAGGATCTGTCCTTCAGCTCTGACATTAATGAGGCGGTGGCAAGCAAAGGTGTGGGCCAAGACAGAAGGAACATGTCCAACACCAGCGCCAGACCCATTTGGGGCCCGAGCTGGCTGTGTGGGGTGGTGTCTGGCAGCTGCGATGACATCTATGAGGCAGTGTCAAGCGTAAGTGCAGACCAAGGCAGAGAGGAGCAGAGGCTGGGCAGCGGGATCATTGTGCTCCCCAATGTGAGATCCAAGCAGAGCCAGCACAGGGTGCATGGGGCAGAACCGATCGAGGGGGAGGTGGTGGAAGCCCCATACCCTACTGCCGTGGAGCCTGCCTGGTGGGATGTGGGAGCTGGTGACAGCCAGGACCTGCAGCACATGAGCGACCAGGAGATGCCCAAAGGTAAGGCAATGAATGATACTGTTTGCCCTCAGGCACGACTCTGGCTGACACTGATACCAGTTCCCACCCCACCCCCCACCCCAGAGGCATCCACAGCCTCTGGCTTCTCCCTCCTGCCCCTAGCCAGCTTTCCCAGGTCCATGCACCAGGCAGGAGGACTGGCCCTGCCTCCTGCCTGCCCTCACCCTTCGTTCTTTTTCCCTGCTGCATCTGGTGGTTTCTTTTCTCCTCCCTACCCCAATGCCCAGTTCTGGCCCCTTTCTCAACCCCAGGCTGGCTGAAAGCTAAGTTTTCCAAATAAAAAATATATGCTACAGATTTCATTGCTGTAGAGGAAGTGTCTTACAGCTCTTCTGTTTACTTTGGTTGGCCTCTCAATTTATTTAAATGTTAGGATAATTAAGCTTGATGATGAATGTAACTTTATAGCTGAAAGGTGTTGTTCTCTTAGAATATTCAAAAATGGGGAAAGAATGAACAAAGATAGTATGTGAATGAATTGTGCCTTAATACACAAAAACATGCAAATACTTGTGAAAGCTTTTCCTTTTTTTTTTTTTTTTTTTTTTTTTTGTTTGGGGTGTAAAGTAAGCTTCTGAGTGCTTTCACACACCAGGTAGCAGATGGGTAGAGTTGGATGATGGCCCAAAATAGACTCTTCATATCATTTTTGGGGATTTATAACACATTTACAGGATGTCTCATTTGACCCTGTCTCTACAAAAAAATGGTAAAAAATTAGCCAGGTATGGTGGCTTGCACCCACAGTCCCAGCTGCAAGAGAATCTATCTCTTAAGCCCAGGAGTTTGAGCCTTCAATTAGTTATGCTGGCTCCGTCTCATCATTGCACCACTCCAGCCTGGGCAACAGAGTGAGACTTTGTCTGTCTAAAAAGTTGTTTTTGCCCAAAACAGCTCTTTGTTTTAAGACATTTGAAATATTGAGCCAGTGTCTGACCACAGTAATTGACCACAGCATCTCTTACTGCTTAAGACTTTCCCTGAAATGTGCTGGTAAGAGCAGCCTAGAGGAAGGTGGTTATATTTGATAAGTAGAGGGAGGAGGGCATATATGTGATTCATCTAAAAGTTGCATCCGTTTATTTAGGTGCAACTTTGAAAAAGAAGTTACAGCCCCAGCCTGGTTTTATTCCACATGCATGGAGAGATTCTGTGAGTTTTGCATTCTCCAGTAGAATTGGGATATTGGTGCCTTTATTTTCTTGACATTTATTACTAAAAGCTTTTCTCAAGACTGTTAAAAGTGATTCAAATGGTTATGTAGCTTTAAACAGAATCTTTTTTACTGCCTCACTTATGACATTGTTTCCTCTTCTTCCTCTACAGATATTGCTTCTGACAGTCCAAGGGCAAGCACACTCTTCCTGAGAAAGTATCAAATGCATGGTGAGACAATATTGTTTCTGCCTTCAAGGAAAACCTAAAACTTTTCTGTCTTGTGTATTACAGAAAGTATTTAGAGAAACTCAGATATTAGTTAAAAAGTTCAACTTTTCGTAGCTTTCCTTGTCTTATTTTCATATGTGATATAATTTCCTTTAGTTGTCACTGTTTATGGAAACATACAGACTTTGTGTTCACACATTTGGTGATGTTTTTACCCACACAATTAATTGGCCACATGATTTAGTGTCATAGTCACGGATTTATGCCTTTTTCTTCATATGTCTTTGCCATTTTTCCCGTGCTCTAAAGAGTACATTTTAATAACGAGTGATAGGATTTAGGCCACAGCTTGAATTTCACTCAAGCAAATCAAAAGAATCCATTGTTCTAGATTGGATCTGTGATGTTGGCTCCTTGTTCACAGTGCTCTAACTTCTGTCACATCCAAGTCGATGCTAGAACTTTTTCATTGGAATGTAATAGAAATGTAACATGCCCTGTGCTGTTTTCCATATTAGCCTTAGTGTGTGAAACTAGTGTAACATTTCCATATCCTGCCTGTTTTAGGATGAGAATTAGAATTGTAGGATTTTTCTGTACTGTTGCTTGTGTTTCATAATGTTCTGTTATCTTACTTTATTAAAAAAAAGCCATACACCATGTTTTTCAGTTAATTTTAACAACAAGAATACAAGAACTGGGGGTTCTAGAATAACATCTGAAGTAATGCAGCACAATAAAAAAGGGGTTGTTCACCTGCATTTTCATAGTTTTGTGTGGAATTTGTCTGACTTGAGCTAGTAATTTCTGGTTAGGATTGTTATATTTCTCAGTTTCTTCCAAGAGCCATGGGCTTCTCACACATAGAGTATATGGAAGTAGAAGAAAACTGATCCTCTGCCCCTGTTATTTCAGTGGTGAGAAATGTGTGTCAATGAGACCAGTTCAACTTCAAAGGAGGAGGCATTGTAGGGAACAAAGCATGGCCCAAATCCCTCTTTGGAGCTTTTATTCTTTGGACCTTTGTTAGAACAAAATGATTGTGTGTGCTGAGGATACCCTGTTCAGTTAGGTTGGCACACTCATTTTGACATTTAAGTTTAAGATAGGCTACCTTTCAGTTAAGACCCATTTATTTTTTCAGTAATGTAGGAATAGATGACCGAGAAATCATTTGGGATGCTTCCAGATATTCTAGTGCATCTCGAGATTGACTCCTGGCCAGAAACTGGTTCTGAGAGCTGTCAGCTATTAGATCCTGGTAATGAAAGTAAGCTACGTGTAAATGTAGAATCAGGAAACAAAACACTGCTGCATAGGGGTTCAGAAATACAATAGGTAAACGTTTTTATTAGCTAAATTTCTCATCTGTCCCACATTTTGGCATTTTTATGAAGGAACACTTGAGATGGAATAATTTATAAAGAAAAGAGGCTTTATTGGCTCACAGTTTCTACAGGCTGTACAGGAGGTGTGGTGCTAGTATGTGCTTCTGGCAAGGGCCTCAAGAAGCTAAGGATCAGGGTGGAAGGTGAAGAAGTCATCTTTCACATGGTGAGAGAAGGAGCAAGAGAGAGTGGGAGGTGCTGCAGGATTTTAAATAAGCAGATCAGGCCACGTGCAGTGGCTCACACTTGCAATTACAGCACTTTGGGATGCTGAGATGGACAGATCACTTGAGCCTGGAGTTTGAGATCACCTTGGGCCAACATAGTGAGACCCTGTCTCTACAAAATATTTAAAAATTAGCCAGATGTGGTGGTGCATGCCTGCAGCCCCAGCTACTCTAGAGGGGAAGGTGGGAGGATCATCTGAGCCCAGGAGGTCAAGGCTGCGGTGAACCATAATCAGTCCGCTGTACTCCAGCTTGAGCATCAGAGTGAGACCCTGTCTCAGAACAACAGCAGTAACAACAAAACCCCAAGAAGATCTTGTATGAACTCAGAGCAGGAACTCGCTCATCACCAAGGGGATGGCGCTAAGGCATTCATGAGGGATCTGCCCCTGTGATCCAAAGACTTCCCCACCTCCAACGCTGGGGATTACATTTCAACATGAGATTGGGAGGGCACACACATTTCCTAATTTGTTTTGCCTTTCCTTAGGTACATGGGGATTCTATCATTTGTACATAATAGAATATGTGTTAGGTCAAAAAGTAAAACTGCGTTTTTTAATTTTAAATTTTGACATTCATCATGCCCGATTATATAAATGGTAAATTTTGTTTACATTAAAAAAAATTTTTAGTGGAATTTTTTATATAGTGATAATCAGATTTATCTTGTTTTATATAGTGATGATCAGATAATTAGCAACTACTTTTATTCTATGGTATTTTATTATACCAGAATTGATTAGTTGTATTTTTATTTTTAGTGCAAGGAAAGAGGAGAAGCTTTCACCTATATTCTGTAAGTAAGCTTTTGAAAAGTTAAGAAATTAATTGTTTAAATTAGAAGTCTATCTGTCATGATTCCTTGGAATTCCTTAGTGCTGTTAGCATGATCCTTTTTTGGTGAGTTTTCTAACTCTTTTCTATTTTCCTAAGTGTCAGATTTATGCAGGAAAGTCTTGAACTTACCGTGCCCATTTTTAAGGCTGTCTAACATTTAAGTTAAATTTAAATAATTTGGTTGTGATATAAAGATCTACCTTAATATTTAATCTTTTAAAATCAAATAAAATTGAAAATAGCTAAGTCCATTTTCTTCAACACTTTCTGCTGACTCCCTGTCATAGCAGCTGAAAGCGCAGCATCCTCACTCCACTGCAACCTTATTTCCCTTCCAGTTTCTTCCACCTGTAACACATTTTTAATTAAATCATGAATTGATATTTACATGATTATGACTATGCACGTATTATTCACTGCTGAGTCACATAATGTTCTGAGTGTGCCTCCTCCTTGTACATCCTTCATTCTTTCTCTTAAATATTTCTGAAACCTGAACACTTCTGCACTTCTCCCAGATAACCTCCCTTTTCCTAGCCCATGATAGCTCATAAAGCCAACTGTGACCATTAGCCTCCGGCTGGTCTCTTTGTTTTCACATCCTTCATTTGTGTGTGTGTGTGGAATTGATTTTCTGACTATATTCCTTTGGTTCTCTAACAACTATTCTTCCCCAAGACTTGTAACATTTGTCACATGCCTGTCAAAAATATGTTTTATCTACTAAAAAATTCATTCCAAGTTTTTCTCTTGAAGCAAGTTTCCTTGGCCTTTCGTTATCCTCCTCAGGATAGACTGTGTTTTCCTAGGCTGCCCTGCACCTGTTGGCCTGGGAGCTATCTCTGAAATCTTCTGGGACCACTCATGTTGGGTCCCTGAGTCCTAGACTGTGCATTGCCCTCTGCCTTGTGTTACTCCCCGGTGGTGCTGGAGCGCAGTTTCTGAGGAAAGGTTCATGTACACACATGTTTAGAGATCTGGGCTTTCTTAAAACCCCTCCTTTGCTATAGAGTATAAAATTTTAGAGTGAAAACTAAATGTCATGGCTTGAAGACATTTTTCTATTGCATTTTTATTATACTGTTTTTGAAAGTATTGCCATTGTGCGATACGTCATATATAATCAATGTTTGTATCTATCAAGTTTTTAGGACCTTCTCTATCCCTGAGATTCTGAAATTGTATCACAGAGCTCGGTAGGGACCTTTTATTTTATTGTGGCCCTTAAGTCTACAATAAAATTTAGAGAATTTTTCTGTGTGCTCTGTTTTATTATTATTATTTTCGTCTAATGATTCAGATGTTGGACATCTTAGACCAGTATTTCTGCATTGATCTGTACGTCCTTCACCTCTGATTTTCCAGTTTGTCTTTTGTTCTGTTTCTTAGAGGTTCTTTGACTGTCCATGCTAACTGTTCTATTAAATTTTTAAAAATCTCCTTAGGTATGATTTAAGATTTGTAAACAAGTTTTGCTCCTGAATTTTTACTGGTCCCAGGAATTCCTTTTTCCTGTTGTTTTGATCTCCCATTGGAGGCTTTGCTCAAATGTGTGGTGGTCTTTGGCTTTCTCTCATTGAAAGCAGGACCTTGTTTTCACTGAGGGGTCTCACTGTAGGGATTTGGATGTCGAGGCAGCTTTTCCTTTGAGGGACATCAGTGTATTATATGAGGGAATGAGGGTATTTTCTTTGCCATGGTTCAGTTTTCTTCATTATCCTCCTCAGGATAGACTGTGTTTTCCTAGGCTGCCCTGCACCTGTTGGCCTGGGAGCTATCTCTGAAATCTTCTGGGACCTTCTTCCAAGAAGGGTCTCCCAATTTTCTGCCTGGGCAGTGCAAGCATGGCTGCTGGCTTTCCAGAAGCAGGGTCGGGAAGCAAGGTGGAGTTTCACTTTGTGCGTGCCATTTACTCCCATTTCCCAGGTTTCAGCCCTGGTAGGTCTGAACTCAGAAACCTTAAGGTATAATATATCCAGAGAACACACATCCACATTCCTTATAAGATGGGAGGAGAGAGGGACCTGGGGTTCTAACCACAGATTTACTATTGACCTTGCTGGCCCTGTTGTATGTTTCACCCTACCTTCCCAGGTACCATGTGCTCTGATTTTGGAGACTGTGTTGGGTTCTTCAAAATACACAGGATTACTTGTTTCTGTTCAGGTCACTCCCTGTGGGCACCAGGGTTGTGCTTTCATGTCAGTTACCACTCCTCTATCTGCTTGTCACCTTGCAACATTGATTCAGAATCTGCTGTCAATCCTGTCTCCTGGTCCTGTGTATAATGTTTATTTTATGACTAATTCTCATGAGGTTTCAGAAAAAAGAGAAAATAAATTTGTGGTCAGTCCATCATATTTAACCCAAATTTAGAACCTATATGTAAGTGTAAATCTAAGTTTAAATTGAACATAATTCTGACATTAATTCAGACAATTTTCTAGGTATACCTGTAATAAGCATATTACACTTTTCCACTCAGGCCTTGTGTAATAATTCTATTCAAACTCCATACCTGCCATGTGGTCCCATTGCTGTGCAACATAGATGGAGCTGATTTTGTTAGCACACAAAGTATTGGAAATTTTCAAGTTAGCTAAAACTCATTAATTATTTTAAAAACCTTTTTTAAAATTCTTAGTTTCTTTACATTGGGTTAGAACAAGTTCTTTTAATTCCCAGAAGTTTCTTATCATCCACCTTCTGAAGCCTACTTCAGATAATGGAACACAGTCCTTTTCCATCAGGGCTTGTTCTGTTGCTGATGAGGAACTGCAATCCCCTGTAGAGGGAGAGGGGTTCTGATTTTGGGTATGCTCGGCCTTCTTAGCCTGGTTTTCTCCCTTTATTATAAATTTATCCATCTGTTGTCTTTACAATTACCGCCTTTCTAATTAGGTTTCTGAGTTGATGTCCAATTTATTGGTTCACAGTGCTGGGATTCAAGCAACCCACTGCGCCAGCCAAAATAGCAGCGATAAGACTGATGGTGCTCTTCTGCCTGGGAATCTCTGGTCTGGCTTCCTTCTTGAGTCTGCAACAAGCGGCTCTGCCTTCCCGGAGCTCCAAATACCGGTCAGTAGGGGAATCAGTCCCGTTTACTCTGCATGAAGAGCTGCCGTGCCAAGGCACCAGCAAAACTGCTGCGCTGGCCACAAGAGTCACGCTGGCAACCCGTGGGGCTCCTCCACTAGAAATCTGCTGGTCTGTGAGCAACGAAAATTCATCTGAAAGTGTGGCATTTTCTCGTTCTCTGAGCTTTCACTGGGAGCTACAATCCTGAGCTGTTAGTGATCAGCCATCTTGGATCTCTCACGACGAAATGCTGAAAAGAATAGACAATATAGAGAGGAATATAAATGAACTAACAGAGTTTAAAAATACAACAGGAGAACTTAGTGAAATATGTACAAGTTTAAATGGCAGAATGGATCAAGCAGAAGAAAGGATATCAGAGGTCAAAGACCAACTTAATGAAATAAAACGACAAGACAAGAATAGAGAAAAAAGGATGAAAAGGAATGAGCAAAGTCTCCAAGAAATATGGGACTATGTGAAAAGACCCAATCTACGTTTGATTGGTGTACCTGAATGTGATGGAGAGAATGAATCCAAGCTGGAAAATACTTTTCAGGATATTATCCAGGAAAATTTTCCCAATCTAGCAAAGCAGGACACTATTCAACCCCAGGTAATACAGAGAACACCACAAAGATATTCCTCAAGAAGAGCAACCCCAAGGCACATAATCATTAGATTCACCAGGATTGAAACGAAGGAGAAAATACTAAGGGCAGCCAGAGAGAAAGGCCAGGTTACCCATAAAGGGAAGCCTATTAGACTTACAGCAGATCTCTCAGCGGAAACCCTACAAGCCAGAAGAGAGTGGGGGCCAATATTCAACATATTTAAAGAACAGAACTTTCAGCCTAGAATCTCATATCCTGCCAAATTAAGCTTCACAATTGAAGGAAAAATAAAATCTTTTATGAACAAGCAAGTACTCAGAGATTTTATTACCACCAGGCTTGCTTTACAAGAACTTCTGAAAGAAGCATTATACATAGAAAGGAACAACCAGTATAAGCCCTTCTAAAAATATACCAAAAAGTAACGAGCATCAACATAAAGAATAATTTACATCAATGAATGGATAAAATAGCCAGTTAACATCAAATGGCAGTAACCCTAAATTTAAATCGACTAAATCCCCCAATCAAAAATACAGCCAAAACCTAACGATATATCCAAAGATACACAAAGACTCAAAACAAAGGGTTGGAGAAAAATTTACCAACCAAATGGAGAGCAAAAATAAATAAATAAACAAAAAGCAGGAGTTGCAATTCTCACATTTGATAAAATAGATTTCAAAGCAACAAAGATACAGTGGTAAAAGGATCAATGCAACAATAAGAGAGCTTAATACCCAGATACATAAGACCCATAACGAGATTTAGACTCAATGAGACAGAAAATTAATAAGGATATCCAGGACTTCAACTCAGATCCAGAACAAGTAAACTCAATAAATATTTATAGAGTTCTCCATTTTAAATACACAAAATATTGATCGGCCATTATTAATACCCATTTTTAGAATGAAGCAATATTCCTGTTCTCTCTCCCTCTTTTTCTTCCTCTTTCTTCCTCTCCTTCTCTCCTTTTTTTACTTTTCAACATCCTAGTTCCTCACCTCTACTCAATACATTCCTCTGAACACCTGATTCCTTGTGATTCTCCCGTCCCACTGAAACCTCCAAAAAAAAAAAATTATTTTAAAAACATCTAAAACATGTCTTATAAAAAAGTGGGGAGAAAAAAATTATCTTGAGGGCCATGTATGGTGGCTTATGCCTGTAATCCCAGCACTTTGGGAGGCTGAGGCAGATGGATCTCTTGAGGCCAGGAGTTTGAGACCAGCCTGGCCAACATGGTGAAACCTCGTCTCTACTAAAAATACAAAAACTTGCTAGGCATGGTGGCACACGCCTGTAGTCCCAGCTACATGGGAGGCTGAGCCAGGAGACTTGCTTGAACTTGGAGGTGGAGGTCACAGTGAGTAATAGGAAATTTTAAATTAAAAAAATGGGGACAGATATCACCTAAAGCTGTACCAACTAGTCTGTGTTTTGGTGCATTTTTCCTGTTATTTTTATTCTTGTATATGGAATTTTCCTCAGAATTGACTTTAGTTATGTTAAAGTATCACGCTGCATTACCCCTTATAGTAGTGACCTTAAGGGATAGCTTCTTTCCCTTTGAATGAAAGTATCTGAATGAGTCCATTTTTATTTTTTATGCCATATTTGTTTTAGAGACGATTGACACACACACATTGTTAATGTAAACTATAACAGAATAGCTTAAGAAGCATAAGAGTTTAGCTAGAGTTAAAACATTTCTATCTTAAAGGGTAATTCGGTTCTTCAAATAGTAATATTGTTCAAAAACATCTTGGATTTTGGTTAAGAAATAAGTGAATTTGCAGTAAAAAGCATCTGAAGCAGCAAAATGCTGTTGGACTCTATGGATATTTCTGATTAGTGGCTACTGGCAATGTTTAAATGCAGTGTAGTTTTATGAACAACCCTACCCGGCCTTTTTTATTTTATATTAGCTCATTATTAGTAGATCCAAACCTGTTCTGTCTTTAATGTGTTTGTGAAAGACCCTGATGGAAGAGTGTGATAACATGATGCAAACAAGCATATTAAGAGGAGGAAGGAAGGCTCATCTGAGTTAGTTTTTTTTTCCAGTTACAATAATGGGTATTTTGTGGTTTTAAATAATACTGTTGATCTTTTCAACTATTTGGTGACTGGCATTTGGCTACTGGGATTATTTTTAAGGAAGAGCACTTCCTTTCTCTCTCTCTGTCTCTCTCTCTCTCTCCCTTTTTTTAAAATTTGAGCTGGAGTCCTGCTCTGTCACCCAGGCTGGAGTGCAGTGGCACCGTCTCAGCTCACTGCAACCTCTGCCTCCAGGATTCAAGCAGTTCTCTGCCTTAGCCTCCTGAGTAGCTGGGATTACAGCCATCCAACACCACGCCTGGCTAATTTTTGTATTTTTAGTAGAGATGGGGTTTCATCATCTTGTCCAGACTGGTCTTGAACTCCTGACCATGTGATCCATTCACCTCGGCCTCCCAAAGTGCTGGGATTACAGGAGTAAACCACCTCGCCTGGCCAGGAGGAACATTTACTTAACATAGTTGAGGCAGCTTCCATATTGACTATTGCACTTTCAACAAATGAATAGATACTTTGAAAGTGTTTAAGAGATAGTTTATTTTCTACAGGCTCAAAAGGTTCACTGTCATATCTCTGATAGCACTGTGGATGAATATTCACTGATTGGTATCTGTAGGAAGATTTACTTTCCAAATTGTAACTGATTTAAATATTTGTCAAGCTCTTATTGAACTCCTTAATTTCTCCCACAGTCTGTGCTCAGCAGCTGCAGGTAGGAGAGAAGGGGTCCTCCGTCCCCTGGAGAGGCTCATTTTCTCATGAGGGGGATGCTCTGCAGGCAGTTGTATCATGTAACACGCAGTGAATTAGAATGATGAGTACACAAAACAAGAAATGTTTTGTGGTGTGGCTGCAAGCAAAGGGATCCCAGAAAGTGGATGAGGTCAAGCTTGCTGGGACAAGGGGGAAAGGAATAAATATTCCAAACAGAGAGCAGCATGAGTGAGGCAGGAATGTGCCATAATGTGCATCAAATAACTTAAAGAATGAAATCAATTAACTTTTGAAATGAATGCAGAGTATTCTCAGAAGTTCTCATTTGAGTAGTGTAATAGCAGTCTTACGGAAACATGAAGTGAAAGTTAAATTCCCAACGTTGTTTTCATCATCTGATTTTTGGATGTGAGAGAGTCTTAAAGCAGTACTTTTTCCATCCTCCCACAAGGAAACAGGCCCAGGGAGACCGATGGCCCCTCACTTGTTTGGTGACTGAGCAGCTCTGGCACACACAGCCTCTGACTCTAACACACTGGTTCCATCGCACTCTCTCTTGAATGCACACGCTTAGGATTAGTAACTTAGTAAATGTTGTATTAGGTCTTCATTTACTGCAATCAAATGCTCTTGTGTCAATATTATTTATGTATGACATTTTGTTGTAGTTAATGAATAACAGAAATAGAAAATCTCAGTGCTTTTTACTGCATAAGAAAAAACATGAAATCCCATTTTAAATGTTTCCCATTATTTATAAAGGGAATTTATAATAGAGGCTTGCTAGGTTTGATGATCAATGTCATATCAAGGGCAGCATTTTATAACCCATTTTTCAAACATCATCTGTGAAAGTTAAGAGCCTCCAATGAGTTTCCCATAGAGCTGCACATGATACCACACTCAGGCAGGTCATGGGTATAAAAAATACCTTGATGCTTTATTGTTTGACATTTTGACAAAAGGAAAAAACCCACACTTTTGTAAGTTCAGCCTACTGTGATATTTTTCTTTGTCTTCCTTCCTCTTTAGATACCTCCGAGGCATCCTGATGAAAAATACAGCTCGTGTTCCACCATATTGCTAGATAACAGCATAGTCAGCAAGCCTGATCTCAGCCACATATTAGAAAGGTGAGTACAACGGGGCTGCCAAGGGCTGAGTGACAGACCCCCATATGCTAAAAGCATCCTGGCCATCTGCTGTTATTTCAGCCATTTGGTTGCCCTTTTCAGCAAGCAGCTGAAGAAGTTGATGTCAATGATATAGGGATTTTTCAGGAACTAAGTATGGATTTTCTGTTTCTCTTTTTTTTTTTTTTTTTTTTTTTTTAGACGGAGTTCGCTCTTGCTGGAGTGCAATGGCACAATCTCGGCTCACCGCAACCTCTGCCTCCTGGGTTCAGGCAATTCTCCCGCCTCAGCCTCCTGAGTAGCTGGGATTACAGGCATGCGCCACCATGCCCAGCAAAGTTTTTGTATTTTTAGTAGAGACGGGGTTTCACCATGTTGACCAGGATGGTCTCGATCTCTTGACCTCGTGATCCACCCGCCTCGGCCTCCCAAAGTGCTGGGATTACAGGCTTGAGCCACCGCGCCCGGCCTTCTGTTTCTCTTTTAATCTTAGACACTGTGTGGTAAAAGGGAAAGCCAGTTAGCAAATAAGCAATCCCAGAAAAAGCATGGCTATTTATTTGATGCATTTATGTTATGACAGTATTGAACCTAATGGACAGGAGAGGTGCTTTTTATTGGATGTTTCTAGGAAAAATTATTAGTTCTTTATGGGCCATAGGTCTAAGACGATGGGCACTACTTTGGAAACTATTATTGGAAGAAGGAACAGCTTGTCCTCCAGTGGCACCATAGTATATCTGCATTTAAATTTTCCCATCATGCACCAGCACTTCATAGGCCACAATCAGAGATGCCCTTTTCAAAACACCCTTGAAAGATGGGTTCAAGTTGGTAAACCAAGCCGGCTCCAATGGAGATGTCCAGGAAACATTATTAACATCTCCTTCGATTATGAGTGTTGATTTTCAGAAAATAGTTTGACAAGTGGTACCTCAGAATGTTAATCTCCTTATTTCTAACTTGGCTTTCCAGTCTATAAACATGACTGTTTATAAAAAATTAAGTTACAAGCTTAATTTTGTCTCTAATGTACTGTTTTTAAACTATTTTGTCAGTAACTTCTACTTTAATCAAAACTGACGGTTTATACTCATAATAATGTGACTTTCCTCTCTCATGTGTAACAATAGTTGAGATCCAATTGTGTTTCAGCAAGAACTGGGCTCCACCTGTGTCTAAAACCCTGCGCTTTGACCTCTGTGCTGTCATCACTCAATGTTTGTATTCAGTCCTAAGTAAAAAGCCACCTTTTTTCGGCTAGAGTCCCTGGCTTCTGATTTCAAAAGATTCTAATGTTTCAATATGCAATTCAAAAGTGGTTTTTAAGCTTCCCTTGTTCAAACAAGTAAAAGTCCCACTTTTTCTTCCAGTGTAGTCTAAATTTTACAAGTTTTTTTAAAAAATGGAATACATATATTTTCTTTTTTGGAGAAGGGGTTTTGCTGTGTTGGCCAGGCTGGATTCAAACTCCTGGGCTCAAGCAATACACCCAAGTCGGCCTCCCAAAATGCTGTGATTACAGACATAAGCTACCATGCCTGGACTAAAAGTCTATTTTTGAAGCAGAGTAAGTTTTAATTTACTCTCCAGTTTTAGAAGGGATTATTTGGTATATTTGCTTTTGATGAAATAAAGGTTTACAACATAACATAGCAACATAACATAGCAAATTGGCTTTTAGGAAAGATTTTGAGAAATGTATTTCATGGTTAGTAGAGCGTTGTTCTCAATGGAAGAAGTGAGCCATAGTAGAATCATTTATACTATTTCTTCAAAATATATGTCTGCAAACACATGCACCTTCCCAGCTCCACCTTCCCTCCATCTCTGGGCACTCACAAGCCTATTAGGAAAATGGGGAAGTATGTGAGACATCATTATATGGGTAAAAGCATCCCAGATGATTCTGATCTTAGCCCTAATTCAGTCATTCCCAAACTTTGCTGCACATTGGAATCACCTGGGGAACTTTACCAACAACCCTGATGCCTAAAGCACACCCAACACCAATTAAATCAGAATGTTTCCAGTTGACATTGAGGCCCTGTTTAAAGCTCCCCGGGTGATCCAGTGTGCAGCAAATGTGGAAGCTGCTGCTTCCTTTTTGTGAAAAAGTGATGGTTCCAATATAAAAATTACGTGTTTTCCCTGTTATTTGCTCTTCTTTCTACCCATAAAGCCTTTCATCTGTGCAAGTCATTTCTATCTATGTGTGCATATGCTTCAATTTATACCACACCATAGTGTTTTATGAACACCTGCAGTTCACAGGAACACTGATCAGGGACCTTGGGCAAATCAGTTTTAAGCCTTGGTTCTCTTAATTGTAAAATGGGTGGTGCATGGAGTGTCACGTGAGGTTCCGTTGTCCTTTTCAGCATGTAACTTCAAATTCTGTGATCTTAAAATTTGGAGATGAAACTGTTGGAAGCACTATAGAAATATCTATCTTAGATGCTAATAATGTTGTAAGGCCTACTTTTTCCAACTCCAATTTGCCTTCTCAAATTTTTCTGAGCCTCATTTTAAATGTTGAGGGTGAATGGAAGGACAGAACTTATCAAAGAGAAGCCGCTGTTTCCTGACACACAACATCTGTGGATGACTTTGGAACACAGTAACATACATCTGAAGAGTTGTATTTGTTCATTCATATTTTGTTTAAACTAATGTGGAAGTACATGTCATTAATATTGTATGATGTGGTGTTACACTGTGTGTTTAGTACTGTTTATTTTAGGAGAGCTACAAGTGTCATCGATTTGGGGATGCATTATAATGTTTACTAATAAATTTTCTGCTAATCATGCATAGGTGATTTTAAATTAGTTTATTTGGTATAAAGCACATTTAGCCTGTGCTTTTAGGGAAATAATGACAAATGGGTGAGTAGGTGATGGTAAACTAAATCAGCCGAAATGCAGGGCCTAGCAACTTAAAAGGCAAAACACTACTGTCTGGCCTAAATGTAAGCATATGTACACATAGATATAAGTAACTTGCACAGAATGAAAGGTTCTATGGGCAGAAGAGCAAATGACAGGGAAAATATGTCATTATTTACACATAATAACCATCTGCAGACACAAGTCTTCTAACAGCATATTGCCTAGCATTTTGGATCTCCTATTTTTGCTGTAAGGCCAGAGGACTAAACAAGAGGAAAGTGCTCATATGGTGCTATTTTGAATAGAGGATTTCAGGGCCACTGAGAGGATACCCTCCCACCGCCTGTAGAAATATATCTTCACCCCTAACAAATGATAAAATCAGTTCTTACAATTTTTTTTTCCCTCCACAGTGTGACTTTGGCAATATATTACAACATAAAGCACAGGTGAGCTCTTTGAAACCTGTCTTGTTATTCCAGCTCATCACTTTGTGTCATACGAAACATGCTGTCAGGTCATAACTCTAGACATTATAAGCTGTAGAGTGCTTATTTTGCAGTGTTACAGTGAATCATTTGTGGGTTTTTTGGTCCATAAGACTCTTTTAAATTATTAAGGGTTCCAAAGTATATTTGTTTATGTCTTTGTTTGCAATTTATTTCTAAAGAAGCAGTAAAAAGATGCCCTAGCCTCACACAAATATATAGTAGGAAAAAGGCATATTTTTAAAGCTTTCAGGTAACTGTGGGTATTCTTTAACCCCACCAAAACTCCAGAAGTGCTAACTGATTAAAATAGTTATAGCGGGATTGTACATATCAATGAATTCATTCACTAATAGTCACTGATCTTTCTTGTACAATAAATAGATCTTTCCCCTTACTGGCTTTTACAATATTATGCATTGGCTGCTTGGTTTATTTATAGTGTCAAAAACTCACTTTCATTAGCATCACCACCATTATAAAAATGTCTTCAAATATGGAGATGCTGTCAAGCTCATAGTAGTAGGCATGAGTTTTCAAAGTCCTGATTTTTAGCTTGAAAGTTTCAGCTTTATTACAGACAAATACTTGTTATTTTCCTTGAAATGACAGACTCACTTGACTTAATTTTATGGATAATAGTCAGTCATACTTTCAGATAAAAATGGTGTTCGGTGAAAAATTGGCTTGTTCAGCTCACAATTGAATCACAAGTGCGTTTCTTTAACATGACCATACTTCAGTATGCAGAAGCGCTTTATGTGAGCTTTCTACTTAGAATACTAAGATGAGAGGTTAAGGTTTAATACCACCATTAATTTTTACTGTTTCATCAAGGACATTCTTCTGTGAAACATGCTACTTTAATAAAAACTGCAAGGGGCAGTGACGAGTGGAATGAATACTCGTATAATTTGGTACCACTGCCCTTATTCATACTGAGAAGCCATCAGTTTTACCCACTTTTGCTTTTAAACAGTCATTACAAGTGTTGAACAGGGAGAAAGCAATCAATGTCTTAATACTTTAAAAAAGTAATAAATTATTTGTGTGTTTTATTTCCAATCAGCTTCTCAGGTTGAATTAGTATTTTTGTGAGAACAGTTTGGGCCATACATGGTGGTTGACACCTGTAATCCCAGCACTTTGGGAGGCCAAGTTGGGAGAATTACTTTGAATCAGGTGTTTGAGACCAGCCTGGGCAATGTAGCAAGACCCCATCTATCAAAAAAAAAAGGTCATCTGGGCATGGTGGTGTGGACATTTTGTCCCAGCTACTTGGGAGGCTGAGGCAGGAGGATTGCTTGAGCCCACAGAGTCAAACCTGCAGTGAGTCAGGTTGGTACCACTGTGCCCCATCCTGGGTGAAAGAGCAATACCCTATAACAACAACAACAACGACAACAACCAGTTTTGACATCATGGGTCTCCTAGAGAATCTCAGGGGTCCACAAACCACATTGGGAGAACCACTGGTTTCCTAAATGATCACATAATGTGTTAGTTTTTAAAGTTCATTAAAGACTGGCCTCTTTTAAAATAAAAAGGCAATTAAGTCTGTAACTCAAACTACTTCAGCAAACATGAAGTATAATAAAGAAAGATTTGGGAAATCTTAATTGATTCTAAAAAGTTCTAAAATCTTTATTGCCAACAACTACTGCTTTCTCAAATGTTCTTGTGTTCCACCATGAGGTTAGAGGAGTAAAACTAGATATAGCTTATTACCATTGCCTGTCAGCGGGGGTCAGTATATAAAGGCAAGTCTGACTCATCAATGTAGAAAAGACTTCCCAGTTCAGAACGTGATGTGCTGACGAAAAAGAGGTCAAGAAACCCTCTGAAGGCCAGGATCCAGGAGAAAAATTGGCAACAACTGTTTTGGTGAACAAATTTCACCAAAGCAAACAAGAAGTATTTCCCTCCACCCTCCATGCCCTACTCCCAGCAGATACTTTACTAAGATATTAACAATTTCTGAATTAATTTCTTAAATGTACATTCTTCTTTTATAGATATGCAAATAGATCCCTGGCTATTTTTGATGAGCCAATACATCCACTTTCAGTAAGTGTCACTTTCTCTGAGGTTCTGTTTATGTCTTACAGAGTTGTGTTTATTTCACGATGAAGTCAAAATCATCCACCATTAAGTCTTCGCTAAGTTGTGTCTAATCATCTTATGTAAGGAGTGTTGTAAATTGGACACACTGTAGTAAGAGCTGACTTACAGCTTTGTTTAATTTGTGCACTAAGGAGAATAAACATACCATCCAAATAACAAAATGTGTCATTTTAAAAGATAATTTTTATAGCAGCAAACAATATAAATATTTGTAAGTAGTCCTAACACAACTCTGTGAATAGAATTAGAAAACAATTTAAATTTAAATCAATACTTAAAAACTTCCTTCTTCATAGCCACAGGGCTACCTTAGCACCTATGTTTACAGAAAACAAAAAATATTTTAAGATCCTACTGTTTATATTTTTAGAACTAAAAGACATTTTATCCCAGCAAAATTATTGCAAGGGACACGTGGGCACAAATTTGAACATTCCCATCTTGAGTACTTAGGAAGTTTTCTTGAATGAATATTTATATTGCCTTTTTTCTTCTTTCAGCAAGAAAAGATTCCAGGGAAATCCTTTGAGGACGATCCCACACACAACTGCATTTTCAGTTATTTCTGGAATATTTTTGCAGTCGCAGAACTAACAGCTCCATGTGCGATCGTAGCATTGGTAAGCTATTTCTTATCTATAAAGCATCTTTAATAACTGGTCTCCTACACAGCGTATGGCCATGTTTCTAAATAAAAGTCAGTTCCTAAATTTATCATCAGATCTTTTAAGAGAAACCTATGCAAGCAAAGTAAATACACATATTAGAGTTTAATCATTGTCGTGTTTTAAAATGATGCCATTGCTTTTCTTATCACAGAATAATTGCTACTAAAAGCAGCGGGAGAGACTTCTGCTTTCTCCCTCAACAGATTCCCATGTAGGTCTAAGCTGAGTTCCAGGCTGTATTTCCCCACAGTTCTGACCTGGAGCTGCTCCTCTGAATGCTTTGTTGTTCCTGGTGACCTCTTGTGCCTGCTCAGGAAATTGCCCAGGAATGTGGAACCAGTAAGACTTGGACATGGGCTTTGCTAGTTAGCCTGCCAAGCCACAGCTGTGTCCTTACTGCTACATGGTTCTCACAGAATTCCTGTGGTGAGACTCATTCTGAATATAAAGTCCTGTTCAGATGGCTGGGATTGTTTGAGCCCTCCCCACACTAACCTGTAGAGGAATGTCAACCACACGGCCTGGAGAGAAAGGACACTTAGAGCAGTACCCTCTCCTTTAGCATCCAGCTAGAGCTTAGAGGCGAAGGCTTCTGCTGGGTACCTGCATAGATACCTCTCCGTGAGCACTGGATTAGATGCAGGCCATTTCCTGGAGCTGCAGCTATTGGGAATGCTCAGCACATGCTGGAGGGAAGCAGGAGTGGTACTTCCCGATGTAGAGAGAGAGAGCTGATGCAGGAGGGAAAGCTGGATTGGAAGAAGGGGGAGTTCACTGTATACAGGCTAAATTTGGTGTGCCTGTGAGATAGCAGAATGACGTGTGCAGTCATTATTTGAATCTATGGAACTGGAGCATGAATCTGAACAGCACAGTCATCATTTTGATCTATGGGACTGAAACATGAGTCAGAGCTGGAGGTGAGGAATGAAGAGTAGGAGTAGCTGCTCAAGGCGAGGCACAATGGCTCATGCCTGTAATCCCAGCTCTTTGGGAGACCAAGTCAGGTAAATCACCTGAGGTCAGGAGTTCAAGGTCAGCCTGGCAAACATGGTGAAACCTTGTCTCTTCTAAAAAATACAAAAAGTTACCTGGGCATGGTGGTAGACACCTGTAATCCCAGCTACTTGGGAGGCTGAGGCAAGAGAATCTTTGGAACCTGGGAGGCAGAGGTTGCACTGAGCCAAGATTGCACCACTGCCCTCCAGCCTGCACAACAATAGCAAAACTCTGGAAAAGAAAAACGAGTAGCTGCTCAAATGCAAAGAAAGTGTTTAAATGAAAGTGGACAAGCCAGACATGGTGGGACACACCTATAGTCCCAGCTACTCAGGAAAAGGAAAAAAAAGAGAAGATGGACAAAAGACAGCTCTGTAAAGACTACCAGCATATAAGTGACAAACCCCCAGTAAAGTGGCCAGAGTGGGAAGAGGAAGAGCAGGAAAAAATGATAAGAACCAAGGGTTCACGATAGGAAAGGCTGTGGTCACAGTGCTACATGCTGCCAAGAAGGTGCCCATTCCATAAACACCCCTGGGATGCCAACCCTGTGCCACTCTTCTAAGTGCTGGGGCAGAGAAGAGGACAGGTCGAGCACAGTCCTTGTCTTTATGAGGCATTTGTTTTAAAGAGGAAAGCATTTCTTTTTTTAGGTAATGGCAAATAGCAAAATGACAAAGCAGAATACAGAGAGAGTGACGGGAGGGGCTCGCTGTTTCTGATAGAATGATCAGGAAGAGCCTTTCTAGAGAGGTCGCATCTGAGCAGTGACCTGACTATAAAGTGAGGATGATAAGGAGAGCTGGCATACAGGCAGTGGGATGAGTGCCAACACTGAGACAGGAACACATTTCACATGTGTTCAAGGAACAAACAGCAGGGAGCCCGCCTGTGAGAGAAATGAAGGAAAGAATGGAAAAGATGAGGCCGCACAGGTGGTGCCAGAGCTCACAGAGCCCTTTGGCTTGCAGACCAGGGGACAAAGTTAAGGTCTTATTCCAGTTTGAAGCGGGGAGTAATGGTAGATCTTGAGCAGGGGAGTGCAATGTTCTTAATTTAGAGGTTATCCCAACTGCTTTAGGGAGAGTAGACCATAGTTGGGAGGAGCGTTGGGGCAGAGAAGAGGACTAAGAAGCAACTAGGCTGTTACAGGTGAGCTGTGACACATGGCAGCCCAGAATCTGAAGCAGCCTACCAATGAAGGTAGCCAAAGAGGGATTGCACACGGATTGGAGGAGGGTAACTCACATGTAAGTATTAGTTCCCAGGAGCTAGGCCAATGGCAATTTTCTGGACAAGATTTGGGCCAGGTTGGGGAGTGGATCCTTGGGGTGAAGGGCTCTGGTCTGTGGGTGTGAAGGCTCCAGGGACCTTGGCAGGAGGAGTCTCAGGTGAGTGATGGGGGTGGGGGGTGGTTAAGGAGAGATGGGAGGTGAGGAGCTGGCACCAGGGCATGACACTGTGAGCAAATGAGAGGATGTCCTGGGGGAGCTGTGGGGAGCAGGATTGGAACAGGCAACACATTTGTATTGGGGAAAATCTGGCAGAGAGAGAGAAATCTTCAAGAAGAGGTGATTTGGGGAACAGTGTTCTACAAAACTGGGATAGGATCCATCAGGCTGACAGAAGAGTCGGTGTTAAAAGAGGAACTTTCTCACTGACCCAGGAGGGCAAGTGGTATCGATGAGTGTCAGAAGGTCACTGGCTTACCAGTAAAGGTGACAGGAAGTTGAGGGCTTGCCAGTGCTGTGTCAGTGCTTTCTAATGAGTCCTGTGGAGTTGAACCCTGGGAGGGAGGGTTATTCCTTGGATACCCGACAGTGGAGAGTTTTGGAGAAAGGGAGCAGCATCTCTCATAAGAACATGTCATGTTCATGGGCCATGTGATTTGGAAAACACAGTTGACTTTGGAGAACATTGCCAGATCTGAGCTGCCAATCTGATAATGTTTGGACAATAAATGAACTCTCTTAAAATGAACTGTTTTCCTTTCACCTTGATACAAAGACTTCAAGTAGCATAGAGTCATACTCTTCTACAGAGCACCCTCTGAGGAAGCAACACCTCACAGCTTATCTCTGTAACCTTCACTCAGCTGGTCCCTCACCCAGTTCTTTATAGAATAGAGATTGGATAGATAGAGAATACTTTCGGAAATACTTTCTGAGATTATCTCACAAACTGCTTGACAGGTTTAGAGGCACCCCAAGGATTCAGAGGCTGGCAGCTCTCTCTGCCTTCAAACCCACAGAATTGACTGAATGCAGATACTGTAAGACAGGAAATAAGTTTTCATGAAGTGACTGTGGAGACATGGAGAATAGGGGCTGTGAGCAGGACTCTCCATTCATTCACATGCATTCCTCATCAAGGCACTGAATACAGGGACTGTTTCTCAGCAAGAGACCTGCCCTTGTCATGCTCTCTGCCTGGCAGGCACTGGGAGGCACTCTTGACCAGCAGTTCCTAAGCCTGTGTCCCAAGAGCGGGTTAGTTGTTGTGAAAAGGAGAAGACAGCAGTGTTCTCAGTATGACTTGGGTGCTACACATTCGAGCATGGCACATCTGGAAAATTCCTCTCTACCTGCCAGCCAGGTGTGATGCTGCACACGGATGGCACTGTAGTGTTTCCTGAACAACCTCAATCTGCACAAGGCCTCTGTTTGTGCTGCCTTTCATGAGTGTGAAGGTGCTGAAGGTGCCTTTCTTCATGCTCACATCCCTGTGAATGAAATTGGAGTGGAAATTTCTATGGGCAGAGTATGCTGCAGAGGTATCTGACTATGAGTGTGACTTGGCCTCTCACTTTGTCTGAGCAAAGTCTCTGCAGAACATAAGAATAAAATGCACTGACTTTCTGGCCAAAACCAGAAGAATCTTTCGTTCTTAAATGTTCTTATCACCACACTGAAACAGAACTGAAATCAAAGACAAGTGCTCTATTTTGCAGGTGTACATTGAACGCCTTTTAACTAATGCTAACATCGATCTTTGTCCTACTAATTGGAAAAAAATTGTCCACGGAGCCATCCTTCTGGCCTCCAAGGTTTGGGGAAATCTTCATCACTGGAGTGTGGATAACAGCCAGAATCCCAAGGATGTTGCAGTTGAGACAATGTGAGTTTCTAAGGTTTTGGCAAACTTTGTCATCATTTTCCATGCCTCATTTGCTCTCCAAGTTATCACTGCAAGAAATATCTTTATAGGTTTCATTGTGCAGATAAAGGAAATAGGCATAAGACCACAGACTTCAATCTATCCAGCTTTAGTATAACAGTTTGTATTTTCCAGCATTTATGGGTAAGTCTTGATGTGTTATTGTTATAATAACTGGCTGATAAACTGAAAAGTGTTTCTCTGATTGTTTTTTGGCAAACCTCTTACAAGTGTGCTGTCAGAATGACACAGTACAGTAAATATCTTTATAGCTTTTTAGAAGCCGCCTGCCAGTTTCAGTCACCTTTTAAGGGGCAAACCTCTGGCCTTTGAAATAATTGGCCACTGTTAAGATCTTAAGGCCTCTGGACTACGCAGAAGTTACAGCTTTAACCTAAGTCACCCATTGTGTATTTGCTTTTGCTGGTCCTTGTCTCCCCTTTTAATCTGAAGATCTGTTTTTATAGGAACCTTGAGATATGATATTAAATAGCTACAGATTTCTGTGCCCTGGCTCTTCCCCATTGGGAACATTGCATGTGTTTGGAAATCGGTCTGATGAGTTAGAAGCTTCCGCGTTCACCTCCCGCAGTGTGAGAAACATTTCTGGGGCATCACCCCATGCCCACCACACTCACAGGCTCTCTGGGTACTCAGACATTCACAGAAGCAAGCTGGGGGCCAGTAGTTGTTTATGAGAGTGCAGGGAGCCTTGTGGGGTCATAGGGTTCCTCCCAGATGCACCACATGGCACTGAAACATAGCTTCCCCAGGGTTCCCTTCCAATTTGGCCTTGTGACTGCTGTGAAGTGAAGGGCTCTGAAGCAGGCAGGCAGGGTGAGCAGGGGGGCGTTTCCACCAGAGCCGCCCTGGGCGCCTGCTGGACAGTGAGGACAGCTGTGTCAGCTGCATCTGGTGCAAGACAAGGGAGCAGCTCTTGTTTACATTGAGCAGCAGCCGAAAAGATGATGCCAGGCAGTGGCACAAGTTAGTTTTGTGATCTTTGCCCATGATTCCTGATAGGACTGTTACCCAAAATCACCTCAGTGTATGTCTACAATTGAAGATACAATGTATATTGTAGATATACTGCAGTGTGTATATATCTACATTCAAAAATAACCACTAGGCACCTGAGCTCAGTGGCTCATACCTGTAATCCCAGCCCTTCAGGAGGCCAAGGTGAGTGGACCACTTGAGCACAGGAGTTCAGACCTGCTGGGTAACACAGTGAAGCCTGTCCATACAAAAAAATTCTTTTTTAAATTAGCCAAGTGTGTTGGCAGGTGCCTGTAGTAGTCCCAGCTACTTGGGAGTCTGACGTGGGAGAATCGCCTGAGCCTGGTAAGTTTAGGCTGTAGTGAGCTGTGATCACGTGACTGCACTCCAGTCCTGGGTGATGGAGCCAGACTCTCTCTAAGAAACAAACAAATGAAAAAAACATTTTTGCCACCACTTTGCTAATAGTATAAACCAAGTGATCATTGTGATATTTGTGGTAGCCATTTTAGCAAAGAGTGTGACAGCAAATGAATTTGAAACAAATGGAAGTACTTGGAAAGTTGCAAATGCTAAAGTGATTTTAATCGTAGTCATCCATTTGCAAACTGGTCCCTCAAAGGAAGCAAGATTTGTGATGGCTCTCTCCTTGCCTGCTGCCTAGCCAGAGCTGATTTATCAATACAGGATAACTGCAATAGAGAAAGAGTTGAATTCATGCAGAGACAGCTGTACGGGAGATGAGAGTTTTACTATTACTCAAATTATTCCCTCTGAACACTCTGGGATGGTTTTTTAAAAGAAAAATTTGGTGGGTAGGGGGTCAGAAAGTGGGGAGTGCTGATTGGTCAGGTCAGCGATGAAATCATAAGAGTTGAAGCTGTCCTCCTGCATTGAGTTGGCTCCTGGGTGGGGGCCATAAAACCAGATGAGCCACGTTTATTTGTTGGGGTGGTGCCACCTGATCCCAGTACAGGGTGTGCAAAATATCTCAAGCACTGATTTTAGGTTTCACAATAGTGATGTTATTCCCAGGAGCAATATGGGGAGGTTCAGATTCTTGCAGCCTTCAGCCTCACGACTCCTAAGCCACAATTTCTAATCTTGTGGCTAATTTATTAGTTCTGGAAAGGGCATCTATCTAGTCCCCTGGTGGGAAAGGGGTTTGTTTTAGGAAAGGGTTGTTACCATCTTTGTTTCAAAGTTAAACTACAAACTAACTTCCTTCCAAAGTCAGTTCAGTCTCTGCGGAGGAATGAACAAGGACAGCTTGGAGGTTAGAAGTGAGATGAAGTCAGATCAACCCTCTTTCACTGTCATAATTTTCTCAGTTACAATTTTTGCAAAGGTGGTTTCAAATTTGTAATCATGAACACTTAGCTCTGCCATTTCGGCAGCTGAATTATTCTCAAAACCTGCAGCTAAGTTGGCTGGGGCTCTGATTTCTAGTCACAAGATCAGAGAGCATGCAGGGATATGTGCAGGTTTCCACAGAAGTGAGCTCCAGGAGCAGTGGAGGCAGAGGCCAGCCAGCCCCAAGAAGACCGGCTCCAAACAGAGCTGTGTGTGTGTGAACAGAGAAACACCAGGAGCTATGCTCCGAACAGGATGCTTCTGTGTATGGTCTTGGGAAGCTGAAAGGCGTTACGTCCAAGCGTTTAATAGCCATGTGTCTCACCCCACTGCTGTTGACTGTTTGCAATGATCCCATTTTGAGTGTCAGTTTAACAGATAAAAAACTGCTGTCCATCAGATTTTTCTTAAAACTTTCCAACACCTAGGTGTTTCCCTAGAATATATTTTCTTTCTAGAGAGTTAAACTGAGTAGCCACTATTCAGAAATGCTGTGTCATAAAGGGTATGCTATTCAATCATCTAGCTGTTTGAAAAACTGGAAATCCCAGAAGATGCATAGCCTGTGCACAGAATTCTTTTCTTCAGTGATTAAACCTCTATTAATAGATACATTAATTCCTTGAAGTGCCATTAATTCCTGTAGTAAGTCAGGTCCTGATTAGCTGTCTATTTCAATATCGTTTGATTTACATTTCTATAGACTTATGGATATGTGAACAGGAAATTAATTTTGGAAGTAAGTTCAGTTGGGTTTTCAGTTCAGCAAATGAGATCCCCACATCTTGACTTGTAGTCTAGCTGTCCTCCACTTTCAAGCATTTGCTGACTTTGCCAGTGGGTAAAATGTTAAAACTTTCAAATCAAGAAACCAAATGTATTGTTCAGATATTGATTATTTTTAATCAATTAACTCATTACAGGGATTACTCTGAAAGCAGCCAGAATGACTCTAACTGTGTACGTATTAATTTAGCCTTAGTGAGGGCAGATGGATAACCATGAGGCAGAGGACGGCTCCCAGTCCTTTCCTCTCCCATTGCATCCAACTCCCCACATTCTGTTCTGTCCAGGGGTGACAGATGCTGAGTTCTTCAGGGTTGCATTCCCAACTCAAGAGCAACACTGCATGTGTTAAGGCCAGGGCCCTACTATAAATCACATTATAAAATGAGTTTAGTTGAGCCAAAATGTCTGTCCTTGACTCTTCTGCCTTTCAAATTGTAAATGTTATTCCCCAGTCTCTTCATAATATTAAGGTGAGCAGAAACCTGCATTATGTGTCCTTGACATAGCCTTGTGTGCTGGAGAAGAGGGAAGGGGATTCTTCTTGCCATGGAATGTATCTTGCTTATGTATTTATTTGGGATGAATCCTTGTAGCCTTAGAGATTTTCTTCCTCCAAGGTAATAGGGTGGGTCTCCATGATCCATTTGTTGCCATGGAGATGTGCCCCATCTTCCCGTTGGTGCTTCTCTACTTCAGTAAGTCCCTTCTTGTTATTGTCCTGGTAAATATGCCGGGAGCTTCTTCAGAGCTAATAAATGGTACCCATCATTCCTGTCATCTGATTGTGATTGTGGGGTTTGTGAATGAGCATGGAGTCTGAGTTGTGCAGCTTCCCTAAGGGAACTGTGAAGAATAAGCCCCAGGTCAGCAGCAGGAGTGCAGAAGAGACTTCTACCTATCCTTCTTCCCAAACTTGGGGTGCTGGGATGCAGAAGAGACCCCAAGCAGCTGTGCCTTGTTTGGACATTAGTGTACGGACCCAAACAGTCAGCCTTTATTTGTTTCAAAACAGAATTTGGAGCTTCCTAGTAGCTCAAAATGATATTTTTAAAGATAACCCAGTTGACTAAAATTGCCCTGTGTTGGCTTTATTATATTTCTCCTCCCCCAGGAGTAAGATGGAGAAGAGTTTTTTGGAGCTACTTGAGTTTAATATTCGTGTTTCTGCCAGTGTTTATGCGAAATATTACTTTGACCTGCGTGCCTTGGCATATGACCATGACCTGTATTTTCTATTTCGCTTTCTTCACAAAGATAAAGCAGAGAAATTGAAGGTAAGGCTGTGAAGTCACTTAGTGGAGTTTCCCGTCAGCCACAAAAGCCAACATCTGTGACAAAACCATATTAAGTAGTGATTAGGAAAATGAAAGCCTTAATATTAACAGACCAAAGTGCTTATTTCTTTGGCATCATACTTCTTGTCTATACAAGAATTATTATTATTATTATTATTTTATGAGAAGGAGTTTTGCTCTTGTTGCCCAGGCTGGAGTGCAATGGTGCGATCTCAGCTCATTCCAACCTCCGCATCCTGGGTCCAAGCGATTCCCCTACCTTTGCCTCCTGAGTAGCTGGGATTATGTACATGCACCACCATGCCCAGATATTTTGTATTCTTATTAGAGACAGGATTTCTCCATGTTGGTCATGCTGGTCTTGAACTCCTGACCTCAGATGATCTGCCCACCTTGGCCTCCCAAAGTGCTGGGATTACAGGGATGAGCCACTGCACCCAGCCAAGGATCTATATTTTTAAAAATTATTGATATTCTCACCGCTTTGACCATAATCAGAATATTTTAAATTAAATTTAATCTGTTCTTAATGGGTTTTGTTTTTAGTCTGTACCCGTTCACTTAACATTTGTGAATAAATGCAGATGTATTCCTAATTATATCTAAATAGACAATGTACTTCCCGCTCTTGACTGTCTTTTACTTAAGCAGTTTGCAGTTTTGTGTCCTTGTCTAGTTTATATATCTCAGTGCAGTCCCAGGAGTTAGACAAAGCAGTAGTGGCTGAGAGACTTGTGCTTAGACCGTATAAGGTGCCAGTGTTTCAAGTACTAGGTGTAGGAAGGACGTGGGATTTTAACGAAAATGGCTTCATGGGAAAACATAAGATTTACGACTTATGACTCTTGGTGAGTATACAGGAAAATTCCAACTGAAATAGACACATTTAAAATTGGCACGGTCTCTGGTGTCTTGGTGGTACTTTGGAATAATACATTTATCTACCACAATGTGCAAGTAAAGTAGCACCTTTTGGTGCTTCAATCATTAGACTTCTTGGATGTTCCAAAACAGCCCAGCATGCATCTGCCTCATTAAAATCTGCTTGGAGTGTGTAATAACTACTAAGGATTGGGTAGAATTTGAATCACTGAGTAAGCTGATTGGCACAAGCGTATGTTGATTATGTTGAAGGTACAAGTGCACAGGTTACAGACAATATTGTTACAAACTTGTCACAATACTCAAAATCTTTAGGACCCCTATTTTATTTTTTATGTGACAGTATCATCAAGCAATGAGCCCAATTTTAAAACTATGAAGTAAGTTCCTCTTGGCTCTGGTGGTCTTTTCATAGCTCTTATAGGAGACGACCTTAGTGAATGGGCAGGGCGTTGCATCCTCAGAACCTGGCCTGAGTGTAAACCTCAGCCAAAGCAGCTGCAAGGGAACCCTCTAGAGGAATCTGTATGTGTGGCTTCTCATCAATGATGCCTTTTAAAAAATGTTGGAGCATTTTTAAAAATTGTACCTGTTTTCTCTTTGATTGACTTTCCTAGGCTATGTCACGGCCGTGTGAATACAAAGACTTGCATCAAGATGTCGCTGCTATGAGAAGAAACATCAGCATGGATTTCATCGGTATTTGGCATACTAATGCCATCTTATCTTAAAGAGAGAAATTAGCATTATAAGGTCCGGGACTTGTCAACTATAAGGACTACAAAATATCACTTCTGCTGAGAAAGACCAGTAAAATTAAAATTTTCTTTTTTTATGTTTTTATTAAAATTTTATGGTGGTGGTTGTTGTTGCTGCTGTTGTTGTTGTTGATTAGGATTTTCATAGAGCAGAGATTTCAAATAACCACACTGTGAAGCTGGGTGATGGTGGCATGAACAGTGGGTGCCAGGTGCTACCTGCCCTTTTTGTTCCACTGAGTCCAGATGGCATTCCTAGGGCACCACCTTCTTGAACAACTCTTGGGGAGGAAGACTGTCACATGGACACAGCACATCCCAGTTCAGAGTCCACAGTCCCACAGTCCCAAGCAGGTGACAGTCTGAGCTGAGCTGGAATTCAAAAAACTTTAGAATTGGCTCCAGATTTGTGAGAGTACCTGGGTTTGGATCTCTGTCCACTGAGGCACTGAATGCGTGATGGCCCGAAACAAGTGTGGGAAGAGAGAATGGCATGGGGACAAGGCTGTCATTACTCCGAGTACCATGGGGGCTCAGGCCTGTTCATCTAGTCTTTGGAGGGAATCTGTGCATGTGAAATGAGGCTCCCGCATCATGGTTATAAACGGAGCAATGAAATCAGCTCATCTTCCCCCAGGCCCATAATAGTCATGCCAAAACACAGAATCTTGCTGTGTTGCCAGGCCGGAGTGCAGTGCCAGGATCTCAGCTCTCAGCAACCTCTGCCTCCCAGGTTCAAGTGACTCTCCTGCCTCAGTCTCCCAAGTAGCTGGGACTACAAGCATGAACCACCAACCCAGCTAATTTATATATTCTTAGTAGAGACAGGGTTTCATCATGGTGGCCAGGATAGTCTTGATCTCTTGACCTCGTGATCTGCCTGCCTAAGCCTCCCAAAGTGCTGGGATTACAGGTGAGAGTCACCATGCCCGGCCTCTTGCATTTACATTCACAATAAAGTGCTTTGGAATATCCCACTGTTGATTTGCGATTTCCTCCTCCAAACATAATTGAATATTTTCATGTATTGATATTTTGTGTCTGAAGATGAAATATTAGATGAAACATGTTAAAATATTTCATGCAAAGCCGTCGGTCGTCGTAGAGACTACTCTTTGGTGAATACACAAATCTATTTTAAATATGAAAATTTTTATTAGATGTGATAATGATATTTTCTCTTTTGTCTTCACTTGTTAGATAATAGCTACTTGCATTCTTCCATAATTAATGATATCGTATCTTATATTTGATGTAAAAAACTCCTAGAATATTTGAAATTGATAGTTGAAATTAAACAGCAAAATGGGAATTGCTGAAACCTAGTGATAATGTACTTATGATGGGTTTATTATGTATTATCACTAACATTGTTAATTTTTTTAATTTCCGTGGGAAACTATACCAAGAACTTGAAATTTTCTATAGAACCCTTTGTGTCCTGCACTTTAGTTCCAATGCATAATGAATAAAGGAAAATGGATTCTCCTGCAGGAATTCTGCTGGACTCTTCCTTTCTTTTCCCTTTAACCTGGGGGGAGTGTCTTGAGGTCACCATGGGGTGAGGCGACCATGAGTGGTCGCTAGAGCTGCCACTGGGAGGAGTGTGCATGTGGAGATGGGTTTCGTGGCCACGTTTCTCCCTCAGGTCTTTCTGGTTGTGATGGTGGCTTTGAGAATGGTTTCTGAGGATCCTCTCCAGGGGAGTCCTCCGCCTGTGGTGTCTCCCTTGGGGGAAGGCCCGAGGATATCTGGAGAGGGATTCATAGGGTCACCCCTGTGTGACAGAGGTGCCTTGTGCAGGGTCTCCAGAAAGCAGCGTTTTAGGGGCGGTGGAGCCTCATCTCCCCTGTAGGGTGGGCGGGATGTCTGAGGGAGTGCTAGAGGGAAGCCCTGTAGGGCAGGATGTCTGAGGGAGTGCTGGAGGGAAGCCCTGTGTGTCAGGGTCACTGTGCAGTCTCAGTAAAGCCCTAGACCTGGGGAAGTCACGATGGAGACTCAGAGGTGCTTGGTTCAGGGAAGGGGGCGGCCTAGGCAGTCACCAAGGTGTGACAGCATCACCAATGCCAGGAGGCATTTTTGGGAGGGGTCTTTGGAGGGAAATAATTGTGGAGTCCCCGTGGGCAGGGAAAGTGCGAGGGTGCTCCAAGGCTGGAGGTCAATGCAGAATGGGTGGGAATAACCTACAGGAGCTCTCAGGGGAATAATGGGACCCCCCCCCCCCAGGGGTCAGGGATGGAAGGAAGGGGCCTTAGCAGGTCCTGTCTTTCAGGGCCGTCCTGTAGGGCATCTGAGAGATGGATTCCTGGGGCTCCTGAGGTCGCAGGTACCCCAGGTGGGGTGTTTTCAAGGGTCAGGACTTCCTGGGTCCTAGAGCAAGGAAATGAAACTGGCTTCTTTCTCACCACTGCCTGGTTGGTGCTTGGCAAACTCCCTTCGGAGAGCCCTGGGGCTCCTGGGCAGGGAAGCTCCTTGAGCTCTTGGGGACAGATGGGCCACCCCTTGAAGGCTGGCAGCAGGAACAAATGGAGCTATGCACCTCTGCATCCTTTTATTGTGGAATTGGAATTGGATTTTCTTGGCAATGTGCAGGTCTGAGGGTAGGTCCGGCACTCCCCCTGCTCCTTCTCTGCCAGATGCAGCATTCATTGCAGATCTGACCCCCTGGGCTGGTGCTGAGGGGATCGCAGCCTGGTGCAGGGCGACATCCAGGCTCCAGGGACTGTCAGGGGCCATCTACACCCTGTGAGCACCAAGTCCGCCCCATAGCTCCTGCACTGGCCAAGGAGGGCACCTGACACCAAACGCAGACCCACAGCCTGAGCTCCTGAGATTCTTTTTACTTTTGACACAGTCTTGTTCCGGAACCAGCCACACCAGGTAGAGATACAAACAGAAATATTGCGGAGGGCTGGGGAAAAAAGAAAAGAAAAGAAAAAAAGGCAAATTATTGAATGTGGTAGTCGTGAAATATGGGGTTTCATATTGGATTTCATTGTTTCTTTGCGTTTAGAATGAGTAACTGAAGGTAGTTTTAGGACTGGGACAGGCAACTGTAAAGCTATGGGCAACTGGGCCAAAGAGGGTCTTGCTGACCTTTTTATGAGATGGCTCTTTTGAGCTGTGTTTGATAAGGGATATACCCAACGCTGTGAGTACAGCGTCACATTCCTAACACTCTGTGAGCCACAGCAGTCTCCAACAAATTAACATCATTTCCTTTGCTTTCCTGACCTGGTTAAATGAATCACATGGTTTCTGCCCATTAATACCCCTACGTCAGTAACCAAACACGTGCCTGTTAGCTTGCTGCCTCCCTTTTCCTTATTATGCTTTGAACTGGACAAGAAATATATTTCATTTTTACAGTCTGTGAGTTGGGTTTCTGAAAGTCGAAAGTACCTTAGTGTATGTTGATATGTCTATTTTATAAAATGCTTTACTGGGGTCTACTTTGCATTCACTCTCCTTTGCCATGTCATATCTAGACAACAATCAATTTTATGTCTCTATACATGAGCCTATTATCAAAATGTCTAATACCCAGGATCATGAATTATGTTGTCTTTTGGGTCTGGTTCTTTCATTCAGCCTAATGATGTTGGGTTTCACTTCTGTGGTAGCGTGTATCATTACATCATTCCTCTTGGATGGCAAGTAGTGTTCTATTGCATGGACAAGACCACGTGTTATGAGCATTCATATAAGAGTCTTTATAATTATAGGAATTTTATTTCTTCTGCATACTGACTTTGGGTTAGAGTTTCTGTGTCCTCTAGTGATTTTATGTGCAACATTTTGAGGGATAGCCTCATTTTTGTTTAGTTTAGTTTTGTTTTGTTTTCAAGGTGGCTACAACATTTACACTCCCATTTGCAGCATACGTGAGTTCCATATTCCTCACTTCTTTTCTAACATTTGTCATTGTATCTTTGCTATATCCATTTAAGTGGGTGTCAATTAATATTAATTGCGGTTTGACTTGTATTTTCTTACCAACGAACGAAATTGAGCCAATTGGCAAATTGTGTATCTTCTATGGAAAATGTCTATTCACTGATCATAGAACCTCTCTCCTCCCCCTAAATGTCTGCCATTCAAAATCTCATGAAACATACGGAGGGGCAGTGTTCAAGTTGGGGACCCTGGGAAATCCTCAGGCCACCCCTGCATGAGGGCTGCCCCAGGAGAGCAGGGCGAGCTTGTGAAGGCCCTGAAGCTCTGACGGCCCTGTCCACCTGAGACAGGGGCTCACTCAGAGGAGGTGGTCTTGCCGGCCCCCCCAATACCTGGGTGTCCTCTAGAGACGTTTGGGAGACAGTTCTTTGCTAACCAGGATCCCTGCTAGCCAGCAGGCAGGTGTGTGTGTGTGTGTGTGTGTGTGTGTGTGTGTGTGTACCAGAATTCTAGTGTTCATTCATAGTGGAATTTGAAAATGAAAGTGTAAAGCTGAAAATTTAATCACACAGGATGACACAACTGCAAAATTAAACCACTGCATAACACTCTGCTCTGTGCTAGGTGGGTTGTTCCAGAATGCAGGGCCCTGGGAACCTGCCCCCGACAGAGCCCTATACAGTGTGTGAGGCCAAATACATGTGAACCAGAGTGGAAACCTGCGCAAGAGCACGGCCCCAGGCCCATCAGATGCCTCCAACAGGGCCGAGGGTAGCCCCTTGTCCTTCCTGAGCATTTTCACTGGGGCTGACCTGGGAGGTGCATGAGGCACTGGGGCTGGGAATTGTGCAGAAGTGCAGAGAGCATGGGTGTCAGGAACTGGTTGGGGTGGGTGAGAAATAGGCCTTCCCACTGGAGGGGTTTGGGGAGGCACCCAGACCAGGACCACATCTGGGAAGAGAGACAACTTGCCCTGGACTTCCTTTCCTTGTGCTGACCAGCGGCTGTGGGGCCCTCAGAAGGGCTTGAAGATGAACCCCCTCAAGAGGCACACCACCTGAGCACATCCTTCCAGGGAGCCAGGAGCAGCCATGGTGTCCCCTGCAGTCCTAGATCTATGACTGGAAGGTGGGACTCCCTGGAGGAGCAAGGAAGAGGCTCTTTGGTGGGGCAGAGGGCCACACTCCAGGAGGCACAGTGCATTCACACGTGGCCATTCCTGCATACCTTGCAGTGTCTGAAAGTGCTCACCATAAGCAGCCGGAACCTACCTTCTGGGGACCACAAGAGGCATGGGGACCTCATGTGCTTCTTTGTGATCATGGCTGAGGACTGGCAAGCCTGAATCATCAAACACACACAGGGCTTTCACCTGAATCAGTGGGTCCCTGCCAGCCTTCCATGACCCTCTGACATGTAATCAGTTCTGGGTCTGTGGGAAGACACTCAGCCACCCACTCAGTGACCACCCCCTCTTTGTAGATCCATGACCTCTCATCACAACCCCAAACCTACCAGCAGCTCTTCTGAAGCCCTTCCCTAGCAGAGCTGCTCAACCGGATCAGCTGGGCCTGCAGAATCCACTTTGCAGGAATGCAGAAGAAAAGGTGGTGCGTGTGCCTCTTCTGCCCTGCCTGTCTCATGCACACAGGGGAAGGGGATGAACTGGCCACGGAACTCTAGCGCTTCCGCCTGAAAAAACTGTCCCCAGCCCCTGCTGCCTCAGTTCCTCTCTAGGGAGTCATCAGCCCACATGGGAGAGAGCAACCCTGGGAGAGGAACCCATCTGCTTCTGTCTGACTTCAGGGTAGTGTCACAGGGTACAGAGAACCAAGGGCAAGAGGGCCTCAGAGTAGAAGGAGCCCATGGCAGGGCACTGAGCCTGGGGAGGCTACCCCATCTCCTGCCTGAAACAAGGTCCAGAAGAATGGCCACCTTGTTCCAGGTGTGTAGCTGGATGGTCCCCAGGGAGAGCACACTGTGTGTGCACAGAGGACACCTCCACCTCAGGCTGGACTGCAAAGAGCACATTTCCGGACAGGGACCTGGGGCCTGGCCCTGCACTCACCCAGCACCCACTTCCCTCCTGGGCACTGGACGGTTCTGTACACTCTCCTGTAGGCTCCATGCTGGGCTGTTCATTAGGGCATCTGGGCCTGTCCATAGGGAGGTGGAAGAAGGAACATCCTAGAGGAGGTCTCAGGCATAGGGGAGCTCGTGTCTCCTTCCCTGGCTCCTCTGCAGACCTGGGCCTGGAATGAGGAGCTGCAGACAATGAGGAAGCTGCCCCCAAGGATCTGCTTGAACCACTGCTTTAAAAGGGGCCATATTGAAGGTGCCCACAGCCTCTGGTGAGTGACTGGCAGCCTCAGACCCACCTGCCACGTGCTGCTGGGTCGTCCTGTGAAGAGGAGGAAGGTGAGGGAAGCTGGCACAGGCCAGCCCTGTCAGGTGCCCTGAAAGCTGTTCAGGGTCCCCTGCGAGGCCTCCTAGCCTTCTACTTCCTGGAAGGCCACCTCAGTGCCTTTTTCTGGCCTCTCTGATTCTCTGGGATGAGAGAGCCCAGCTTCCCACTGGGCTGAGTGGCCATGGCCATCCAGCCTCCTGCCCTTCACTGACCACAGTGGGGCCCATGCAGCTCAGCCGTGGTCTTTGAAGGGCAGGATTTCATTTGCATAGCATGTTTGGCTTCCTGGGGTTTAAAAGTCCTAGTGCTGTTGCTAAGAGAAATGAGGAAAAATTG